CGGAAGTGCTGGGCGCGGCGCACCCCGCTGGAGAGGCAGGGGCCTCTCGGCGAACGGCGCCCGAGTGCGAGGTGGCATCGGAGCATTCTGAGGTTCCAGCCTGCTTTGTAGCCTTTATTATCACGAGGAAGAATCTCGAGCACCAGAAAAAAAAAGTAAGTACCGAAGCTCGAGGGTTCTCGCGTGTCGGGGCCTGGGAGACACTCGGCCGACACTGCTCCGATACTCTTTCGATACGTTTCCGGGGTGCTCGAAATTAGTTCTGGGATGTGGTCCTCAAGTACGATGGGACCAACATAATCGGAGCATCGCGCCGCGCATCGCCACTGCGTCGGCGATGTGCATCGGAGAGGCATCGGCGCCATCGGCGTGGAGGCATTCTCATCGCTCACCCCGCGTGCAGACCTTTCGCCCGGCCTGCCCTCCCTCCTCTCCGCTCTTGTGCCCGGCCTCAGGCCTTCCCCCGTGCGGCCCGCACATCCGGAGCGCCCACATCGCCCACATCGCCAATCCGGAGCGATCCTTCGATCTCATCCGCTCGGGCCCCATTCCAGGACACCCAGGGGAGGTGCGGGGAGCAGCGGGGTCGGAGCTTCTGCGGGGTCGGCGCCTCCAGCGCCGCTCCCGGCGCGCTCCGCGCGCAGGGGAAGGGGGGGCCCCAGCGCCAACCCAAGGAATCCGCGCGGAGCTCCGAAAGTTTACGTTGATGCAGTGTCTGTTGAGGATTAAGGATTGGCATCGCCTTATCTCGATGCCGATTTTAAGGATTCCCCCTCAGTGTCTAAGGGCGCATCCCTGAGATAGTCATCGCCGTTGGGCTTGTCAATCTCGGGGATGGGGATACCCGTCGGTCGCTGAAAGTGCTACGTACTTTTAGACTCCCAGACCCCAGTCTGCCTTCTAGGCGCCTTCCTACTTCAAGAATCGAGTGGTTCTTCTTTCCCCCCCGTCTTCAGCGGGTGGCCGTAAGCCCATATCTACTTCCGCCGCCTTCCTGCGGCACGTTCTTGCCTGCTTCTTCCGACCGACGGATGCGCTCGGGGGCGGGTCGGCGTCGGCACCTCTGCGGGACGGGTGCCTCTCTGGCGCTTCTGGCGGTGGGTGCCGCCGCTGCTGCTGGACGCGGGCGCTCGGGGGCGGCCGTGGCCGCGCGGGCCTGGCCTCGCGCGCGCGCTCGGAAAGCGCGCATGCGGGAGGAGGGAGGGGAGGGGAAGGGAGGGAGGAAGGGAAGGGAAGGGGAGGAAGGGAGGGGGGGGAGGGAGGGGGAGGCAGGGCGGGAGGGAGGGGAGGGGAGGGGAGGGGAGAAGGGGGGATGGAGGGGGAAGTGGACATAGAAACGGGTAGAACTCGTAGCGCTAAGTATGAATTATTGCGTGTCGAGGCCTCTGGCAATCATTTCTCTCTCCGAGAGACACCTTAGGCCAGAGCCCCGCCTCAGTCCTGGACAAGTATTCTCGAGTGGTTTCCGTGGGGCTCCCGGCACACTCGCCCTTCAAGGAAGTGAGTTGAGAGCCTGCAGAGTACCCACACACACCGCAGTGCCACAAATTCCACGCTGTAGTGAGAACAAAGCTTGTGAGAGCTGTAAGTCCACCCCCCAGCGCAGTGTATCTGATTCTGGGCAGGTACCTTGAAAAGGGTTCTGTCGACGGGCTCCAGTTCCAAACAAGGGGTTTTCAGCAAACCTACACGAGCCCTGTGTGTGGCCGATCCGTGACAGACTGTGCACGTTCGGCCGCTATCATTCAGAGTGTGCTCCGAGCAGAATTGTGCCACGACCTTGGGCGCAGGAGGGGGCCGATGATTTGTTTTTCCTGCGCGCCGAATTCTGCCGAGGATCGGCTGCAGTCGCATCCATGTAAGCACGCAACCGTCTTTCTCTTTGGAGTCAAAGCTGCTCTGTGCTCTACACGATGGATATGGGTTCGGACTTCCTCGGGCACTCTTTCTGCTAGAGCTATTTCTCCTGCAGCAGTGTCTGCCAATCTGTCCCCCTAAATCATCCAGGGTGGGATCCTTTGCTCTCCTGCTTCGTCATCTGGGAGATGTGAATTGGTAGAACAGAGCGACCACATGCAAGCATTTGCCCGTGCCATGTAAATGTCGGCTGGTCTTGGCCCACAGTTCGACTTCATTGGCGGCCGTGAGTGGGTTAATACATTGTTTATTTCCCCATCCATGTGTCACCGGTTGAATGCCCATGATAGTTAGACATACGTGTATGTGTATATGTATTTGTGTGTATTATATATTATCATATATCGATATATATATATATGCACACAATTGTGTACATCTACATCTCTATGTAGGTGTGTATGTTTGTTTGTCTGTCTTTATGTCTGTCTGTCTGTATGTATGCATCTATAGATGCATGTATGCTTGTGTGCTTGTTTTATGTATGTATGCATGTATGTATACATATATACATATATATATATATATCGATATAGATATACGTGGGCGCAGCCCTCGCAACACCCATCGGTCTTTGAGCTTTCCATTCGTGCTCTGACTGGCCATCCGCCTTCTTTTCATTCGTGTCTGCTCCTTCGTTTTCTTCTGCGGGGATCTAATTGTGCTCAGCTGCGATTGGGATCTGCTCAATTCTAATTCGATGGTACTTTGATTTTACCTGGAGTCCAATTGGACACACATGGATCCAGGATTCAGCAGACTCCAGTAGGACTCCAATTGGAATCAGCTGAATCTGGGATGCTCTCAGTTCAAATGACATGTTACATCTATTACAATTAGACTCCATTTGGAACCAGTGGGGTCTATGATCTGTCCAATTCGAGTTAGAATTTATTTGGGTCCCACTAGGAATCCAAACAGCTGTATCTGGACCTGCTCCATTTCTCTTGGATTTTAATGCCATTCCACTAGGACACATATTGGAATCAGCTGGATCTGGGACCTGGCTAATTCTAACGTGATGCTGTTTCCATTTTAATAGGGATCTACTTGGAATCAGCTGGACCAATGGTCTGCTCACTTCCAGGTATATTCTAATGCGATTCCAATCGGACTCTCACTTGGACTCAGCTGGATCTGGAACGTGCCCAATTCCAATACATTTCGAACTTGCACCCAAACTATATATATATATGATCCAGGGTCGAGGGCCCACGCCCCCCCCCCCCAGATGGTATGGTCCCAGGATTCCTCGGCCCCCCCCCCCCCAGATGGTATGGTCGACGACGACGACGACGACGACGACGACGACGACGACGACGACGACGACGACGACGGCTGCGACGACGGCGACGACGCCGACGACGACGACCGGACGCGACGACGACGATGACGACGATGACGACGACGACGACGACGATGACGACGACGACGATGACGACGACGACGACGAGGACGACGAGGACGACGACGACGACGACGACGACGACGACGACCTCTGAACCACCACAGCACCACACCACATCCACAGGGGGGGGGAGGGGGGCACCGCAGTGCAACACCACGCCACGCCCACCTCTGAACCACCACAGCACCACACCACATCCACAGGGGGGGGGGAACCGCCGCGCGCAGCACCACGCCACGCCCACAGGGGGGGGCGGGGGGGACCATCGCGCGGGGGGGGGGGCCCAATGGCATCAGCATTGGGGGGGGGGGCCAAACCCTGGACCATACATATATATATATATATATATATATATATATGTATATTTCAAGTTAGAGTCGCTGGAGTTTTGTCCTATTCCACTGTGAGTTTCAGTATCTGCCAGTCGGAATCTAATTTGAATCATCTGGATCTGAGATTTGTTCCATCCCGTCTGTATTATACTAACATTCCAATTGGACGAGCTTTGGAATCAGCTGGGCCTGAGATGTGCTCAATTCTGCTTAGAATCTAATTCGAGTTTACTTGGAATATACTTGAAATCAGCTGCATCTGGGATCTGCATCCTGTCACTTCGATTCTGAGCAGATTCCAGTAGGAATCCGTTCCGAATCAGCTGTGTCTGGGATCTGCTCAGTTCTCATTCGAGTTTAGTAGGTCCCAGTATGGATGGAATTGGAGTCAGCTGAATCTGGGTTCCACTTTACCCCAGTGGGATCCTATGTGTGTTCAACTAGGAATATACGTATAATCAGCTGGATCTGGAATCTGCCTCTGTCTCTCTTTCTCTCTCTCTCTCTCTCTTCGCCTCTCTCTCTCTCTGTCAGTGTCTCTCCCTCTCTCTCACACTCTCTCTTGCTCTCTTTCTATCGTTTTCTTTCTCTCTCTCTCTCTCTCTCCTTCTGAGACACACAAAACAATACATGTGAAAACAACACGTTTGTGATGTCAGTGGTGCGGAAGCCTTGTGTTCATTTCGGGAATGGATCTCATGGGGACTGGAGCTCATGGGAGGGTTCCTGGCTTGGATTTTCGCTGGAAGAGTCCCCCAACTTTTAAACAGTCAAGGTGAAACCATCGTTTCCTCTCTTCTCATCCCTGACATCCACACATCCGAATGAAAACACAAGTTCCCGCAGCTCTGACATCGAGGCACTGTCTTCATGTGGATGTTTGCTGTGACTACTAGGGTGACAAATGTGGAACTCGTTCTTTTCAGCTGATGTGTATATATACACATACATATAGAGATAGAGATGTTTTGGAGCTGGGGGGGTCGGAGCTCCTGGGAGGGCTCCTGGGTTTGATTTTCGCTGGAGGGAGGCAATTCAAAAAAGCCCAAATCATCACAATGAAAACGTATGATGCTCTCACTCCTCATCCCAGAAAGCCCTACACTCCACATGAAGACACAGGGTTTCCACTCCCTGGCATCGCAAACCCGATGTTTAGAGAGAAACAATATGAATATCGAGAGAGGGGTAACGACGAGGAGGAGAAGGAGGAAAGGAAGAGCACCACCGTTGTAAGTGACTGCTGATAAGAATGGGTGCTGGGGGGGCTGTCCACGTATCTTTTTGCACAAACATATAAACCCCCTCTCGTCATGCATGTCGCAGTCTCGAAGGCCGCCAACTCACCACGGAACATAGTCTGTTCTGTCTCCTTTCTGGCAACGCCGTTTTCCCCGTTGTACACGCTCGGGAGGGATACCTGGATCAAATTCGCACGATCGCCAATCCTGCCCTGCGCTTGGTGCGTTTCCTCGTGTCGGGGCCCCCACTGGCATCACAAAGTCAGATGGGCTCCCGACTCGTGCCTCCGCCAAGGCTCCCAACACCATACTCTGTGCTGTCGTTGAATTCGCAAACTTCGTCATCAATTGGCTCTGCTGTCTGCGTTCTTCTCCTCGGGATGATCCCCCTTCGTCAAAACGGTTCACATGGTTCATGTTATGCCATCGCATCGGCCATGAGACAATCTGAATATGTAAATGCCTGTTGTGTTCATGTTGTGTGGGCAGGCCAAGCTTCTGTGAAGCGGTGTCACAACATTCGAACCTCCAACTGCCAAGCATCGTGGACACATCCGGAGTTGTTTGTCGCTTCCTGATCGTCAGCCATCAATCGGTCTCTCGGCCAGGTTCCTCTGACCGCGACTGCCAGCATCAACTGCGTTTGGACATGCCCATTCGGAGCGTCTGGCAGCGACTTGATGACAAACCTGTGCGACTCGTGGGCGACTCCCTCGCAATTTCTTTCAACACAGAAATGTTGTTCTGCTTCACGCCAAAGCGCCCGCTTAACCGACGCAGTGAAATCGTCCAATGTATTTGATAAATCTTTCCCCCCTGTGAGCTCTGTGTTTGAAAAGATCTACTTCAGCACCTCGTCCGTGCACACGTCTTGTGGAGGATGCCAGTTCGATGGTGTGCTCGGGTCCCATTCGCAATGCAACATGAAATTGATGACTGCACTCATATGCCCTCGAATGTGTCAGGGCCTCACTGTGCTGTCGAAACTTGTCCACCACTCGCGGCCAAACATTGGCCACTGAATCTCTGATGGCGCTGTTCGTCGTCCACAACTTGACCATTCAGCGAGGCATTCGCGGCCTAGCTTGATGGCTCCCGTAGGTCCAGCGTGGTGGCAGTGCACCTCCCACGTTTGTCTCGATTCCTCAGGGTGACTCCAGGTCTGCAAAACGAATCCATCCCAAGTGAGGTCGAAGACTGTACCGCGAGCTTCTCCGTCAGCATTAGAAGTGACTGACGTTCCCGCCACCTGCTGAGAGAAAGCCGCTGCTGCCATCTTGCGAGCCTGCTCGGCTTCAGCAAGGGTATTGGCTGCATTCTCCTCGCGCTCGACAGCCTTCGCCATGTTCTCACGGCACTTCAGCACCGCAACCGCAGTTTGGTCGTGTTTAAGATTGGCATCTCTCCATGCCCCAGACGTACGTTTCACTTGCTCTTCAGCTGAGATCCATCTCGCGCCTGTCTGCTCCCTCAATGCTTTGGCCGCTGTGGCTGCTACCTGTGAGGGCTCCGTCCCTGCCGCCAAGGGCGCGAGGAGGGCGTGGAGCAACTTCGCCTCGGCGTCGGGTGAAACGCCTTACTGGAGAAACTCACTGCCGTCATTGCGCTTCTCCTTTCCAACTCCTTTGCCTCCGTCGCCGCCCTTGGTCTTGTACACCTTGACATACTCGCCGCACTTGCCGCACCGCCCATAGCGGCTCTCAACGTTCCCAGTCCAATCCCACTGCTTGCACTTCTGGCACGTGCTCCATTTGGAATGAGCTGGTAGGACTTGCACTGTTTAGCCACCGCGCTGGCTATCGAAACGATTGCTCGCGAGGTGCCACTCAAGCACCAGATTGAGGTACCGTGCTGGTCTCAGGGCTGCAAAAATGGTGTTCTGAGCCCAAATTGTTTGAGGGAAGGGAGGGAGGGGGGCAGGGAGGGAGGGAGGAGGGAGGACACGCGCTTGCGTTGCCCGCTGCTGCGGGAGGAGGATGGGGGAGGGGAGGGAGGGAAGGACCAGGGTAACGTAAGCTTCGAGTGCGCCCCACAGCTCGGGCTTGCCGACGCTACTTGACGAGCCCGTCCTGGATTTTGATTGTCCAGTGTTCGTAGGATGTCTGTAGCGTGAGCTCGCGTCAAATTTCAGATTAGGTCGCGTCGTGTTCATGACGGTCTTGTCAGGCCAACCCGAGTCCCCCGAGCCCGAGTCTTGCGTCTCCCCGAGAGAGGGAGGGAGGCCAGGCCTCAAGAAAACCGGGCCATGAGTGCCACCGGGTCAGGCCAGGAGTGCCACAGGGCCAGGCCTGAAGAAAGGGGTCTGGCTGGCCCTTGCAGCAGCTGGCGTGGATCCCAGAAACAGAACTTCAACGTCTGGGGTCCCCCAGCGTGACGGGGCTTGGGACCCACTCGGGTTGTGTGGGCAGGCGAGGAAGAGGAGAAGGTGAAGGACCAGAGTCAAACCAAGATGCATCAACGATGTTGCAATAATCCCTCCCTCCAAGTTTCTTCTCATAGGTCCCTAAACTGAAATATCTTTCTTGCGGGAAGTTGCCCATTAGAAATCAAACGTCAGATAATCTTCGATCGTGCCAAATCACAATTCCCGGGACGTCAGCTCCGCAGATCAAAACAATTGTTGCGTCCTTAGAGTTCTATTTTGATCGTGCCAGAGCATTGTGTCAGGGAATTCTTTACTCTTCGCGCATCCCCACCCCCCACCAGCCCATCTCACAACAGCAACTCTTGCGAAGCATGCCGACAGTCGTGTTTCTCAGGCGTGTGTCCGCTTGGCCCCGCATATCTCCCCTGTTACTCCTTCCTCCCGCCTCCTTGTACATCCTCCTTGTGGGGGGAGCGGGAGAAGGACGAGGCGGAGGAGGAGGGAGAGAAAGCGCTCCTCGTGGTTTGAGTCGTTTGGGGTTTCTCGTCCTGGTGTGAGTCGTTCGGGCCCTTCTTCCTGGTGTGAGTCGTTCGGGCTCTTCGTGGTGTGAGTCGTTCGGGCTCTTCGTCCTGGTGTGAGTCGTTCGGGCTTCTCGTGGTGTGAGTTGTTCGGGCCCCTCGTCCTGGTGTGAGTCGTTCGGGCCCCTCCTCCTGGTGTGACTCGTTCGGGCTCCTCGTGGTGTGAGTCGTTCGGGGCCCGCGTCGTGGTGTGAGTCGTTCGGGCTCCTCGTGGTGTGAGTCGTTCGGGCGCCTCGTCCTGGTGTGAGTCGTTCGGGCCCCTCCTTCTGGTGTGAGTCGTTCGGGCTCTTCGTGGTGTGAGTCGTTCGGGCCCCTCGTCCTGGTGTGAGTCGTTCGGGCTCCTCGTGGCGTGAGGCGTTCGGGCACCTCGTCCCCTTTTGGGGCGTCTTGGGGGCCTCTTGGCGGCCCCAGGGGCTTCTAGGAGCGTCTTGGGTGGCTTGGGGGAGCCTCTTCGGGCCTCTTGGGAGCCTCTTGGAGGCCGTTTGGGGCGTCTTGGGGGCCTCTTGGCGGCCCCAGGGGCTTCCAGGAGCGTCTTGGGTGCCTCGGGGGAGCCTCTTGGGGCCTCTTGGGGGCCTCTTGGGGGCATCTTGGGGGCCTCTTGGAGGCCTCTCGGGGGCCTCCTGGGGGCCTCTTGGGGCCATGTTGGGGCCTCTTGGTGCCTCCTGGGCGCTTCTTGGGGCCATCTTGGAGGGAATCGATCGAAGAAGAGGGGAGCTTTAATGAGCGCTGCCCCCTCAGAAGGGCAAAATGAACCCAAAACCTTCGTAAAATCAATGATTTTGCCTGGAAAGAAGAGGGGAGCTTTAATTAGCGCTGCCCCCTCAGAATGCCAAAATGGGGCCAAAACCGTAGTAAAATCCATGATGTTGGCTTCACAGAAGAGGAGAGGGTTTTTTCTCCCCCCCCGTCGGGGCCAGAATCCTCGTGAGGGGTGTCGTTTTTTAGCCCTCCCAGGAGTCGAAAAAGATCTCCCCCCAACGACCCGCGAAACCCCCTCTCCAGGCGGAGGGGTAAACCCCTCCCCGAAGGGGAAGAAGGGGGGTTGGGGGGTTGAGAACAGAGAGAGCTCGCTAAACCACTCACGCCCAAAGGGCTGGTGGGATTCAACAAGGCGAATCAGTGTGATTTGTTGCGTCCTGATGACCCTAGGTCGTGTCAGAACGCAAATGTTGGAATTCCACCCATACGAGTCCTCAAACCTGTTGCACATCTGTACGACGAATGTGCGCGGCGCTGAGGCGAGAAGCAGATGTTGAAAATAAACCGCCTGCCATCCGCGAAGTTGCTTCAAACGTTACAAGCGAATGTGCGCAGGACAGGCGAGAGCCACATCTTGAAAACAAGCCGCACTCCCTTCGTGCAGCGGGTGCAAACTTTGAAAACAAATGTGCGCGGCGCTTGGGCGAGAGTCACATTTTGAAAATCACCCGCCCTCCATCTGTCAAGCGGATGCAAACCGTACAACGATTTCTCGGCGTTGGGGCGGGAGCCATATTCTGAACAATCACCCGCCCTCCTTCTGTGAAACGGCTGCAAACTTTGACGACGACTGTGCGCGACGCTGCGGCGAGAGCTACATTCTGAAAACCTCCCGCCGTCTAGCCGTGAAACAGGTGTTGCGAATCTCACGCTTCATGATCGTGGATGGCGAGGCCGTCTCGGGCGACACGGCCGGCCCACCCTACCAGCACGTCTAGGTGTGCGACGGGGAGCAGCTTTTAAGGCAGAGGCATGGAGGACGAGGAGGGGCAAGGGGAGGAGGATAACGATGAAGAGGAGGAGGAGGAGGACGAGGACGAGGAGGAGGAGGAGGAGGAGGAGGAGGAGGAGGAGGAGGAGGAGGAGGGGGAGGAGGGGGACGAGGGGGAGGAAGAGGAGGAGGACGATGAGGAGGAGAAAGAGAGGATGGAGGATGGTGATGGTGATGGCGAGGCTGCTGGTTGTGATGCTCATGATGGGTGGGTTTGATGGGCATGCTGACGATGACTTAGTGGGGAGCGCGAGGAGGACTCGTCGGAAGTTGCGCAGAGGCCCGGCGCTTCTGGATACCCTTCCGCGCGAGATGAAGAGGGGGGATGCGCCGCCGAGGCACTGACATGAAAAAAGTTCGGGTTCGGGGGGGGTGAGGAGGAGGAGGAGGAAGGAGGAGGAGGAGGAGGAGGAGGAGGAGGAGGAGGAGGAGGAGGAGGAGGACTCCCATTGACTCCCCAAAGACCTCATTGTCCTCCTCCTCTTCCTCTTGCTCCTCTTCCTCCTCCTCCTCCTCTTCCTCGTCCTCCTCGTCGTCGTCCTCCTTCTCCTCCCTCCCCTCCTCCTCCTTCCTCCTCCTTGCTCCGCGGTTGTTCCGCTAGCGCTCCTCGTGCATCCAGGCGCTTTGGGCGCCCAGAGTGCGCCTGTTCTTATCGGCGTGCACTGCAACAGCACCGTGACTGCATCCTGATTTCGGAGGAGGCCTCTCGGCGCTGCGAGCGCCCGCCAGTCCTGCGCTGCGTCTGCGTGGTGGTGTGGCCGCCAGCTCTGCGCTGCGAGCGCCCGCCTGTGGCTGCGGGTGCTCGGTCTGCTCTCGTGCGGCTCAGTGGCCCGTTTGCCAGGCTGTCACCGCGAATGGGCGTGCCGTGAGCAGCCGTGAGAGCACCTCACATCGCGCGTGGGAATGTCAGCCAGCGCTTCTGGGCCCATGTGATCGGAGGCTGATCGACCTTCACCCCTGACACGTCGATTAGCGAATTTGCCGTTTTCGGTTCGCAAGAGGGCGTCGCGGCCGTCATTCTTGCGGGTCCAGGTCCGTCGGTTTCGGTCCCAGGCTGTTTTCACTAAGGGGAGGTTTACTAAAGGGAGGTTTGTCCACCGCCGACAGCCAACGCTTCTGGGCCCATGTGACCACGTGTGGGTATTTGCCTGAACTTCAGTGTGCCTGTGAGGGCCTGTGGTCCGCTGTGGCCACTCGCGTTCGCCTCCGGCAATGTCCGTGCGCCTGCGAGTGCTTGTCTGGGGATCCTGGCGAGGTGGCGGGCCTTGCTTGGCTGTTCGCCGCGCAAGCAGCCCCAGTGCCAGAGGAAGCGCTTTCAGGGGGGGGGGCAGCCTTGCCGCTGGGATCCAGGCGCTTCCCAGAGGTCGAGGCTGTTCGGAAGATCGTGCTGTTGGAACTTCGGGAGCCTGGGACCTCGAGAGCCCGCGTCGATTGCGCTAACGCAGGACTCTGTGTGTGGGACGGCGGACCAGTTTTCTCTTGCCAGGGATGGATGCCCTGGGAGGAAGTTGTTTTACGACAGTGGGGGCGCAGATCAAGAAACCATGTGCTTTTCGTCAGGGTACCCTGGGTTTCCTCGCTCCGCGCGCTGCGTGGTGACTTCCAGCGGCCATCAAAGAGGCTGCTGCTTTCAGGGTGCTCTGGGTTTTCCAACAGGTGCACTTCGCGCGCTGGTTTGCAGGGTTGGGTTTCTTGCGAGGGTTTCTTGCGGCCGCGCCCGCACTGTATGTTTAACGTCCCTCGAGCGCCCCCGATTGCTGAGGGAATGTGGCTCGGGGAGGGCAGCATGTTCCTTCCGAGCCCACCCAGGGGGGTCGCGCGATTTGGAAACTCTGCTGATTGAGGAAACACCTCAGTGCTTTCGATGCATGGTGGATGGGATCATAACAAAACCTGGCTGCTGAGTTCCTGAGTTTCTGAAGTCCTTTGCAGGTAAGTGTGAGACTGGCGGTGCCGTTGTCGTTCGAGCTTATCGGTGAGTTCGTTCCTCCTCCCCTCCCCCCTCCCCCCTCCAGATCTCCCTCGCCGCGCGCGCCAGCCGCCCCCAGCTGGTGCCGAATCCCTCGCCGTTCGCGCGACTACCGTTACGCCGCGGACCCCCTCACGCCGCGTTCCACGCCGCAATGAAGGCGTCTGGGGCGCGCGCCCCGCCGCTCCTGCGGGGGTGGCGGGAGAAGGGAGGAGGTAGCCCCTACTTGCTCGTGGCCTTCCTACTTGTCCTCACTGTTCGCTTCCTCCATGTCCCTCGTAGCTCCCTCACTCCTGTTCGTCCTCCTCCCCCTTCTCCCTTCCTGCTCCCTCCGTCTCTCCCTTCCTGCTGCTCCCTCCGCCCTACTCCCCTCTTCCTCCTCCTCCTCCTCCTCCTCCTCCTCCTCCTTCTCACTTCTTTTTTTTGCGCTGGGCAAACTTTGAGCGTCCTCCTCCTCCTCCTCCTCCTCCTCCTCCTCCTCCTCCTCCTCCTCCCCCTCCGTCTTTTCTTCTCCGCCGCCGGGGCAACGGAGGAGGACTGATAAGGGAGGAGGACGAGTTCCCGTTGTGCGTTGGGAGAGCTCAACGGAGGTTCCATGGTAAGGTCGTGCTGTGCCGAAGCTGCGGCACCCTCTGAGTGCCTTCTTTCCTCACCGCTGCCGGCGGCGCCCACACAGGAGGTGGGGCGAAGGTCGAGCAGTGGCGAAGCATCCCGGCTTGCTTATATCGGGGGCCCCCAAACGGGATGGTGACCACACCGTGTGGTGAGCCGGTGGGGATTCGGGGTCACCGCACGGCTTTGGGGCCCGAGTCCATCTCCGAGGATGTCTCGGGCGACAGGGGCCTCCAGGGTCCCAAGACCGTGCGGTGACGGACCGTGCGGTGAGGTCTCTTGGGGTTCCGAGGTCACCGCACGGTCTGTCACCACACGGTTTTGGGATCCCCAGGTATAGGCCCACCAAAGAAGGTTCTTAGAACTTCTTGTGGACTGCATGACATGCTCCTAGCGCATTTCTGGCTGAGATTGTCTTGTTCGAGTGCATCGGGTTCATATTCTAAGAATTTTGTTTTCGTTATCAAAACCTGTTGTTGTCGGAGGTGGATAGACCTCCTACCCTGACACGTCGATAAAGGAATTGGCCGTTTTCGGTTCGCGAGAGGGCGTCGCGGCCGTCATTTTTGCGGGTCCAGGTCCGTCGGTTTCGGTCCCAGGCTGTTTTCACTAAGGGGGGGTTTACTAAATGGAGGCTTGTCCACCGCCGACAGCCAACGCTTCTGGGCCCATGTGACCACGTGTGGGTACTTGCCTGAACTTCAGTGTTTGCTAACGGGAGGTTTGTCCACAGCTGATATTGGTTCGGGGAGCATGTCGTGGTACGCCTATGGGAAAGGCTGGGACGGTCGGCCCCTGCTCAAGATGGGGGTTGGCTTCCGAGAAGGCGGCGGGCTTCTGAGAGGGCAATGGGGCTGCGAAGCCCGCCCAGCTGCTGACACGTTCATCCGCCCTCTCAGAAACCTCCGGGGCCTTCTAAGATTCAGTCGGGCATGTCCCTCTACAGGAGGGATATGCAAGCGCAGTTAAAACATAGTAAGGGGACGCGTGTTGGTGCTCTCTGGATTTTGTTTTGTACATTTCCTGTTTTTGTTAAACAAAACAACTGTTTCTAAGAAGCCCCTCCGCCTTCTTGGAAGGCTGGCCCCCTCGGCGCCACCCCCTGGCGCCGCCAACCCTGGTGCAGCGGCGGCAGTAACTGCCGGCCACGCGCAGGGGGGGGGTAGAAGGAGGGGGGAAGGCTTCTGAGAAGCACCCCCCACTCCTCAGAAGGCGCGGGCCTCCCCTGCAGATGTGAGGCCCGCGCCTTCGGAGAAGCCCCCCCCCCCCCTCCTCCCCCCCCTCCTCCCCCTCCTCCCCCTCCTCCCGCCTCCTCCCCTCCTCCCCCTCCTCCCCCCCTCCCTCCCTCCTCCCTCCAGCCTTCCCAGCCCCCCCCCTCCTCCCCCTCCTGCGCGCCGCCGAGACCGGCGGCGGACGCCTCGGGCGAGCGCCCCCTGCAGGCCGCCCTGCTGGTTGCCGCCCTGCTCGGCCCGTGCCTCGCGGGCGCGTCGCGGCTGAAGTCGGCGAGCGGCGCCGGCGAGGGGTGCAAGGCCGCGAGGGGGGAGGGCATCCCCCCCCTCCTCCTCCTCCTCCTCCTCCTCCTCCTCCTCCTCCTCCTCCTCCTCCTCCTCCTCCTCCTCCCCCTCCTCCTCCTCCTCCTCCTCCTCCGATGGGGCAGCCTCTGGGGGGGGGGGAGAGAGATCGGCTCGGGGGGGCGGGGGAGATCGAGGGCCGAGGGTTCAGTCCGGGCTCGTCCCTCCTCTACAGAGGAGGAGCCTTCCAGAACAGTCAACAACATCGTATGGGGACAATCTTTCGAGTACATGTTTTGGCCATTTGGGAGCATCTGTTGCGTAGTTTTTATTTCTGTTCGTCGAAGATGCTCCTGCAGGGGGACACGCCCGACTGAAGCCGAGGGTCGAGGTGCCGAGGTCGTCGGGCGTCGTCGCGGGCGCTCGGCGGCCCTCCAGCCGCGGGGGTGTTCTCCAGCCGCCGCGCCTATCGCCGAGGGCGCCTCGCCGCGGGGGTGCAAAGGGTGGTCCCGCACGGCCGCCGGGGAGCCGAGCTGTGACCCGAAAGACGGGGTCGGAAACTGGACGCCCGAAAAGGCCGTCGGATGGCTCTCGCCGGTCTCTTCCCGTCGCGGGCTGCGGGCCGGCAGCTGGCCCCGCCGAGGGCGTCCTGGGGGGGGGGCGTCCGAGGGCAGCGCGAGGCGCCGAGGCCCTGTGGCGCCGAGGCTCGAGGCCCGAGGTCGTCGGATGTCTCTCGCTTCTGCACGCCCGAAATGGGCACGGAAAGGATGGGTACAATGCCCAGCAGCGGACCCTGTTCATTTTGAACAGGATTCGCTGTCCACGCCGCCGCGGCGGCCGCGGCCTATGTCCATTCGAGACACGAGGCCGCCTGCCCAACAGCGGCCGCTGTTGGTTTGGGACATCATTTGTTGTTGGGCATTGTACCCATTTTTTCCGTACCCACTTCGGGCGTCCAAATCGCTGGTCTCTTCCTGTCGCGGGCTGCGGGCCGGCAGCTGGCCCAGCCGAGGGCGTCCTGGGTCGGGTATGGCCAGGATCCAGGGAACGGGAAGAAAAAATGACATAGACATAATAACTCGGAGGTCCGCGCGGATTTCTCGGATCGGCGCTGGACCACCTGGTGGCGCCTCCGGCGCCGCCCCGATCCGAGAAATCCACGCGGACCTCCGAGTTTTTGTGTTCATGCCACTTTTTGCTCCCCTACCAGGGAAGGGGACCCGGTCAGTGGTAGGGCCCCGGAGCCCTTAAATTGGCCAGAATCACTGAACCAGGTCTGCCGTAGCTGGTGTTTCTTCGGGTGACGGCAGTTCCAGTTAGTGGAATGGGACTGGGGGGGCGCCCCCCGGTACACATCATTAAATCAGGTCCCACTAAACCCAGTCCTGCCAACGCCCGAGTCCTTTGGGGGGGGAAGGGGGACCCGGATCGTCCCCGGACTCGCCCCGGGCGCGTTCCATTTCTCGCAACGTGCCTATATTGGCAAACGTCCGACAAAAACGTGTCTTCCCTTGGTGACGCATCGTAGATCTCCCGCGACGGATCCAGGCCATCTGCGAGCAGCTACCTTGCGAGTGGTGGAACGCGCTTGTCCACGGCCGGCCGGCCGCCGGAGACCCAAATGATGATTTTCAAGCCGCACGGCGAGGATCGCCGGGCGTGTGTCCACGGTGCGGTCGGCTCGGCTGCCTCGCAGTTGGCCGCGCTCGGTCGGTCCAGCCAGGTCTGCTGGCCGCGTCTCTGCGCCCTCCATCCGCAGCAGGCCGCCCTCGGCCCGTCGGTCTCCGTCGGTTTCCGTCTCGCCGTCGATTCGGCCGGGATTCGGTGCTGGTTCTGCCGTGGGCGCCCATTCGGCGGCGAGCGAGGGGGGGAAGTGAGAAGGGGCGGGCCTTCTCAGAATGCTCGGAAGTCCCCCAGCCTTCTGAGGAGTGTTATTAAGCCTTCCGCGAAGATACAACAAGTTCTAGAGGCTTCGCGTATCCCCACCACTTTAGCCTCGTTCGTGGCCCGGACGTTGCCTTCGCCGCCTGACCCTTGTCTCGTGGCCGCGGCCCAAAAAAGTATCCCCACCAGCCCATCCAGAAACGATGTCCAGGCGAGTTGAGGTGATCAGGGAAGTGCGGGAGCAAAGAGGTGGACGGGCGAACCGTGCGAAGGAGGAAGGAGAAGAAGGAGGCTTGATGGATGAATGAGGGAGTTAGGAGAAGAATAATGCATATGATGATGATGATGAGGAAGATGCTATGATGATGATGATGATGATGATGATGATGATGATGATGATGATGCTGATGATGATGATGATGATGATGATGATGATGATGATGATGATGATGATGATGATGATGATGATGATGATGATGATGATGATGATGATGATGATGATGATGATGATGATGATGATGATGATGATGATGATGATGCTGATGATGATGACGATGATGATGATGCTGCTGATGATGATGATGCGATGATGATGATGATGATGATGATGATGACGATGATGATGATGCAGATGATGATGATGATGATGATGATGATGATGATGATGATGATGATGATGTGATGATGATGATGATGATGATGATGATGATGATGATGATGATGATGATGATGATGATGATGATGATGATGATGATGATGATGATGATGATGATGATGATGCTGATTGTGATGATGATGAGGAGGAGGAGGAGGAGGATGCTGCTGCTGATGATGGTGATGAGGAGGAGGAGAAGGATGAAGGAGGAGGAGGAAAAAGGAGGAAGGAGGAGCAGAGGAAGAGACAGGAGGAAGGAGGAGAAAGAGGAGGAGAAGGGGGATAACGAGAAAGAGAAAGAGAAAGAAGGAGGAGAAGAGGAAGGAGGAGGAGGAGGAGGAGGAGGAGGAGGAGGAGGAGGAGGAGGAGGAGGAGGAGGAGGAGGAGAAAGAGGAAGGAGGAAAAAGAGGAGGAGGAGGAGGAGGAGGAGGAGGAGGAGGAGGAGGAGGAGGAGGGCGAGCAAAAGGGCCAGAGATCTCTTGGATGCCTCTCAGAGCCTCTTGCGACATCGCTGGGGCGCTTCTTGGTGGCCTCTGGGGGACGTCTTGGGGGTGTTTTGATCCTGGGGGGCTCTTGGGCGCCTTGGGTGCCTCGGGGGGGGCCTCTTGGAGCGCCTGGAGGGCGTCTTGGGTGCCTCGGGGATCCTCTTGAAGCCTGTTGGGGGCCTCTTGGGGGTCTCTTGGAAGCCTCCTGGAGGCGTCTTGGGGCCGTCAGGGCGCCTCTTGGGGCCCTCTTGGGGCGCTCTTGGGAGCTTGGCTTCCTCGCCGAGGCATTTCTGGACGCTCCAATGGGTCGCGGCACCTCCCGTCCAGGTCCAGGGGAGGGGGTCGGGGGGAAGGGGTCAAGCTATCCACCTGCCCGCAAGCCGTCTAGCTCACTCCCACCCGCCCTCCCAACACATAAATAACACCCGAGCCTGAGCATGTTCGGCGGTCGTCTTTGGATGGACAGCTATTGGGAACCAAAGCCGACCCCTTGTGCGCGACGCTTGTGCAAGGTGCGCCACGCGTGCCAGGGGCGCCACGCGCGCCAGGCATCCCTGGGGCCCGAGCGTGCCAGGCACGCCTGGTGCGCCAGATGCGCCACGTGCTCCGAGTGCGCCAGGTGTGCCGCACACTCCAGCCGCGCGAGGTGCGCCATGTGCGGGGCACGTGCAGAGTGCGTCAGGTGCGCCTGCGCACGTGGCAGCACACATCGAGAACCATGTCGGGCTCCGCCACCCTTGTCGAAAACCAGTACCCATCATTGTGTCTGTCGGGCCTGCGCACAGCAGGCCACGCGTCACCACCCCGGCCGTCCTTATCAAAAACCATTTGACAGTGATCGCGGGATGGCCGCGCATGATCCAGGTTTAGCCACGAGGTGCACATTGTATTGTCTTTTGTCAGGGATGGTAGCCCTACGCACGGCAGGGAATATGCTGGCACCCCTGCCGTCCCTGCCAAAAACAATACAACTTGTTCGCGGGCCTCACAGACATGACTTAAGACTTTGTCCCAAAGTGTACTTCGCATTGTTTTTGACAGGGATGGTGGTGGGGGGGCCGCATCGGGTTGGTCGCGCATGCTCCAAATGTGGAGGCAGAGTGCGGCTTGTATTGTTCTTGACAGGGATGGCGGGTGTTGTGTCGACATGGTTCCTGGTTGGACGCCGGCCGGGTGGGGGACGGGGTGTATATTAATACGGAACCATGAAAAACCCTTCCCCGAAGGGGAAGAAGGGGGACGGAAGAGGAAACTCTCTAAACCACCCACGCCCAGAGGGCTGGTTGGACGGAGAGGGCTGGTGGGACTTCTCAGAAGGCGCGAGGGCTTCTGAGAAGTCCCGTCGCCTTCTGGGAAGGCCTTCTCCTTCTCACTTCCCCCCCTCGTTCGCTGGCGCTCCATGGCGAGGGTGGGGGAGGGGGAGCGAGGAGGATCAGGGATCGAGGATCGAGTCGCCATGAAAAACTGGTCCTGGAGGCTTTTGGCCGTTTTCGGACTCCTGGGGCCCTCCCCGGTCCCCGGGACCGTCAAAACTATGGATTCAGGATAGAGCGCCAATCCCTGGGAGGAGGGCGCGCGGGGAATGGACTCGGACTCTCAACTCCCCGACAAATCCAGGCGCAGGGTGTTTCGGCCGCTTCTGGCCTTCATGGGCCCTTCTCTTGGCCGAGCGACTCGGGAGGAGGAGCTCGTCCTTGCCTGCCCCCTCCTCCTTTTCCTGCATCCCTCCCCTCCCTCCCCTTCCCCCACGTGCCCTTCCCCCCTCTCTTCCCCTTCCCCCCCCTCTTCCCCCCGCGTCTCTTCCCCCCTCTTCCCCCCCAGATGCCCCTCGTCCCCCCTCTTCCCCCTCTTCTTCCCACGACGTGCCCCCCCTCTTCCCCCCACGTGCCCTCCCCTGTTCCCTCCCCCTCCCTTCCCCCCCTCGGGGGTCGGTGCCTCCGGAAGCCTGCCCTGCAGCACGCCGCCATGGGGGCACTCTTGCGCCAGGGCCGTGGTGCGGCTCGGATGTCGGCGGCCTCGCGGCCGACCGTCTGGAGCGGAAGGTGGCGCACACAGCCGCGTCGCACGGCGCTCGCAGCAGCGCTGCAGCAGCTGCAGGCATGGAGCCGTCGTTGTGCCCCGAAGGCGGCTCCCGCCTTGCGCGCATCTGTCGTGAGGTGAACATTAGCTAGTTATGGATGGACCCGTCATGGGTGATCAGGAGGTGAGAGGAGGAGGAGGAGGAGGAGGAGGAGGAGGAGGAGGAGGAGGAGGAGGAGGAGGAGGAGGAGGAGGAGGAGGAGGAGGAGGAGGAGGAGGAGGAGGAGGAGGAGGAGGAGGAGGAGGAGGAGGAGGAGGAGGAGGAGGAGGAGGAGGAGGAGGAGGAGGGACGAGGAGGAGGAGGAGGGAGAAGGAGGAGGAGGTCTCCTCCCCGCTCCCCGTGCCAGGCACAGGCTGAGTTCGACATCATGATGTGCACGTCTCACATGTGCACCGACTGCGTGCCTCCGCCCGTGCCAGAATCGGAGTGGGGGCGCCACGAGGTGGGGTGGAGAAAGGGGAAGAGGCGATCCTGGCCTCGTCTTGGTCTTCGCTTCCGCTATTCCGCCTCGGTCTCAGTCTGACTCTGTGTCTTAAGTAGTCTCTGCCTTCCGTCGCCTTCCCGGTCTGCTTCCGACGACATTTCGCGGGCCGTCGTTTCCCGCCCCCACATAGCAGAGAGAAGCCAAGTTGTCGATCCCTTGAAGGCGCCCTCCTCAGGATCGGGAGGATCGACGTCGTCCAGTTCCTGGCTGCGTCGTAGCCCCAGGGGCGCCCCGCGGGCTGAGGGGGGGGGGCGCTCGCGCGCGCTGCAGCCGGAGCGGTTGTGCATTCTGCAGACGGGAAGCACCCAGCCCCGAGCAGAGCAGCGCGCGCCACGACCACGACCACGCCGACGACGACGGAGACGCGGCGCGGCGACGACGCCGACGGCCCCGGCGCGCGCAGAAGCTGGACTGGTGCATGACGGCGTGCCAGAAGCCGCGGGCCCAGAGCCGCAGCGGGGGGCCCGCGGTGCGCCCGGTCCCGGCCCCCCTTCGCGGCGGGCCGCTCTCGCCGAGATCGGCCGGCCCCCTGTCCGGTCTGCCGTGGCGCGCCGCCGCGTGTTGCTGCTGTCCGCTCCTGCAGCGCAGCACGGCTTCCGAGGAGGGTTTTTTTCGGGGGCCCCCAGACGGAGCGGTGCCCACACCGTGCGGTGAGTCGGTGGGGAGTCGGGGTCACCGCACGGTTTTGGGGCTCGAGTCCCTCTCCGAGGACGTCTCCGGCGACAGGGGCCTCAAGGGTCCCGAGACCGTGCGGTGGCGGACCGTGCGGTGAGGTCTCTTGGGGTTCCGAGGTCACCGCACGGTCTGTCACCGCACCGTTTCGGGACTCCAAAGGTTTGACCGTGCATGCCCACCGCCTTGGGGATCGACCTCGTCGGACCCCAGACCCGTCGGTTGTTGGAGTGCCAAGTTGCAGTCGGCTTTGAGCGCCTTCCTGCTTCAGTGATCGAGCGGCTTCACCTTTTCCGTCCTCTTCAGGGGGCGCGCGGACACCCCATTTTCTTTCCACGCCGTTCTTCTTTCTCTCGTGTTTCCTATCTACAGGCGGCCCAGATTAGTAGGTCGACCCTGCCAGATCAGGGGTAATTACCCTTGTGTCCTGTGTCTCGCGACCTATGCTTCGTGCATTCCTGTGGCGATGTGGCCCCCGAAAGGGTCTTGTGCCCCCTCCGATCAAGACCGACTGTACTTCTTCCGACCGATGGGTCTGGATGTATTCGGGCCCCTGGCTGCTGGGATCGGGCAGATTCCTGCTCTCGGCGAACCTCGTCTAGGTGGGGGGGGGAGCGGAGGTCGGCGAGTGGGGCCAGTGTTACTCAGGAGGGGAAAAAACTCACAGACACAATGAATCGTCCATTCCCCAGAAAATGTGGGAAAATATGGGAAGTGGGGGGGAAGACAAAAACCCAGGAAATGTGGGAAACTATAGGGACTCCTGTCACTTGTGTGTATTTGTTTGTGTGCCCCAGGGCCCCATAAATTACCCTGGCGAGGTTGCGCACGGGGGTGGTCCCAGTTGTCCAGGACGACGTTTTCGAAACAGTCTTGCGCGTCTGCTGAAGAGTCCTACCCTTTCCGAGTCCTCCTTGGTCGGCTACACGTACGAGCGACATTTCGCCGGAGTGACCTTTGGTGCGGGGATGTTGGTCGACTACACGTAAGATTATGAGGAAAATCCTGGAGGCCTCGCGTGGCGCGTAATAGTAGTATGATCTAGTCCACTTGTCAGTTCCGTAAGCTATGGGCCGACGCTCGCGCGGGGATGCTCTGGAGTCGGTCCGACGTAAATCCGACGTAGTCCGACGTGAATCCGACGGAAACCCGACGCAGATCCGACGTACATCGGGTCTCAAGTTGCCGCGCGAGGCCTCCAGGAGTTTCTTCATAAGTAAGAGTGGCCCTTCGGTGGAGTGATTCTTTTTGGTGCGGACCCATTGGGCCCCTCCCGATCGCCGAGCGCGATGCGACAGCAGCGTCTTGCACGCTTGTGCCTGGTCCGCCCGCGGCCCCCCGAGAGCCGCGCGCCAGAGGTCGGTCTTCCCCAGAGGCCGCCCCTGCCTCCTCCTCCTCCTCCTCCTCCTCCTCCTCCTCCTCCTCCTCCCTCTCCTCCTCAACCTCCACCCCCTCCACTGGGGGTTCGCCCGACTGCACCCGGGTGGCGGAGCGCGATGCGATATGGCAGCGGACGGCGCGCTGGGGCTGGGTCTCCCCGCGCCTCCCTGCAGGCCCCGCACCAGAGGTCGCGCCCGCCCGGGGTCACTCCTTGCGTGCAGCCGACTCGGGCGCGTTCCTGCTTTGGGTCAGGGGCAGGGATAAGGGGGGGATAGAGCGGACATCCATGCCAGAAAGCACCCTGCTTGCCGCTAGGGTGCCCTGGGTGTCTTGGGCTTCGATGGTTTGGCTACGGTAAGCGTGACGTTCCCAAACCAACAATCAATGGTCGTCCTGGGGTCTCAGGGTTGGGGGTGTCTCGTGGAAGTTTGTTTGCGGTGGAGCTCCTGCTGTAGGCATCGGTGGCGGGGGCTGCACCCACCCCCAGTCGCCCAGAGATAGCCGATGGGGTTCTGACGGCCCCACCTCGCCCAGGAAGCGTGCGGCGGATTGGCGATCGGGGGCCCGTCGCTGATCAATCGGCGATGCAACCCCGATTGCAGGTCGATGTTTCCCCCCCTTACGGTAGGATCGTGTCGTGTCGACAGGCGGCGACCCCGCCATCGGCGCTCAATTTTGAACGCCGCGGGCGACCCAGAATCTTTCGATGTGGAACGATCGGGACGTTTCGGAAACGGCCGATCGTTCAAGGTCGAACGATCACCGCGGTGTCAGAAACGAACGCCGAAGTCGGCACGACACGAATCCGACGTATGCCAGTCCCCCCCCCAACAGCTGTCCCTCATTGGGAGCGCGAGCGTAGGGGTGCATAAAATCTGCGTGCGGCTCTGCCCTCTCTACCCGCCTGGGTCCGCCGCGGGGGCGCTGCGTCAATCGCCCCCTTCGCGCCTCGGAAGGAGGGGGAGGAGGAGGCGGAAGGGAGGAGGAGGAGGAGGAGGAGGGAGGAGGAGGAGGAGGAGGAGGAGGGAGGAGGGTAGGAGGAGGAGGAGGAGGGAGGAGGGAGGAGGGAGGAGGGAGGGAGGGGAGGAGGAGGAGGGAGGAAGGGAAGGAAGAGGGAGGAGGGAGGAGGGAGGCGGGAGGAGAGGAGGAGGAGGGAGGGGGAGGAGGGAGGAGGGAGGAGGGGAGGGGGGGAGGAGGGAGGAGGGAGGAGGGAGGAGGAGGAGGGAGGAGGGAGGGAGGGAGGAGGGAGGAGGGAGGGAGGAGGGAGGAGGGAGGAGGGGAGGGAGGAGGAGGAGGGGAGGATGGAGGAGGGAGGGAGGGAGGGGGAGGGAGGGAGGGAGGGAGGGAGGGAGGGAGGGGGGAGGAGGAGGAGGGTGGGAGGGGGAGGGAGGAGGGAGGAGGAGGGAGGGAGGAGGGAGGAGGAGGAGGGAGGAGGGGAGGAGGGAGGAGGAGGAGGGAGGAGGGAGAGGGAGGAGGAGGGAGGAGGGAGTGAGGGAAGGAGGGAGGAGGGAGGAGGGAGGAGGGAGGGAGGAGGAGGGAGGAGGGAGGAGGACGGGAGGAGGGAGGAGGAGGAGGAGAGAGGGAGGAGGGAGGAGGGAGAGGAGGAGGGGGAGGGAGGGAGGAGGGAGGAGGGAGGATGGAGGGGGAGGGAGGGGAGGAGGGAGGAGGGAGGAGGGAGGAGGAGGAGGAGGAGGAGGAGGAGGGAGGAGGAGGAGGAGGAGGAGGAGGGGGAGGAGGAGGAGGAGGAGGAGGAGGGGAGGAGGAGGAGGAGGAGGAGGAGGAGGAGGAGGAGGGAGGAGGGGGAGGGAGGAGGAGGAGGGAGGAGGGAGGAGGGAGGAGGAGGAGGGAGGAGGGAGGAGGGAGGAGGGAGGAGGGAAGGAGGGAGGAGGGAGGAGAGAAGGAGGAGGAGGAGGAAGAGGAGGAGGAGGAGGAGGAGGGGGAGGAGGAGGCCTTCGCCGGAGCACCTCGGGGCGCCCTGCTCCAGCGGGGGCGGCGCGAGGGCGCGAGAGCGCGAGCTGTGCGTCCGCGTTCCGCGGGGCGCGATCGGCAAGGACCCGTGACCGAGGCGCTTCCCTCCGTCTTGGCATCGCTCGGACGTGCGCATGTTTTCTCGGCGAGAACCATCGAGGCCCATCCTGGACCATCGAGCAAAGAAAACACGCACGAGACCAGAGAATGCACGGGGAATGGACCATCCGAGCGATGGCAGGCTTCCGCTTCTCTTACGGAGGCAGCGGGGGCGTGACGCCACCATCACCAGCAGGGAGGTCACCTCCAGCGAAGGGGTCCCCAGGCTTCTGTTCGTGTCCCCCCGGGGCCCAGTATTTTGTTGTGCCCCCCTGGGCCCAACATTTGTTTGTATCCCCAGCATTTGTTTGTCTCCCCCTCGGTCGTGGCCTCGCGGCCGCCGAGGCTCCAGGAGGACTACCCGGCCTGCAAGTGCGAGCACTGGGACGCGGACACCTACAGCGGTCAGTCGGAGCACGCTGGCAAGGCCGGCGCCCCGCCCCGCGCCGGCAGGGGCCGAGCGCGGCAGCGCCTTCGAGTCGCTGGCTCAAAGATGGGGTCCTGAGGGATGGGGTCCTGAGGGCGAGGTGCCTCCGACAATGCAAATCCACCCTTCTTCCCAGGCTGAGAACCCCATTCCTGAGGACCCCACCTTTGAGTCACCGATCGAAGGCAACTTTTGGGGGGGGGCGTGCTCTGGGGGGGACGCATCGGCCCCGAGTCGCCCCGTCGTCGCCGAGAGGGACCCGCGGCTTCGAGGGGCAGGGCCGTTTGTTCCGTTTCCGAAATGCCGTCGCGGGAATCCGAGATCGGTCAAAAGCGGCTCCAGGAAACGATGAGAACAAATCTGCGATTCCAGGGCTCCCCCAGGCCCGAGGGGCCCGACAGCCCACGCCACCCAGGAGAGTGCGGCTTCACCGTCGGGGGCCCATCGCCGCCCTATCGGCGATGTGGCGCCGATTTTAGGCTCGATATTTTCCCTCTTTGGGCCGGACCCCCCCCCCGCACGTTCCCCCTCAAGGGGTCGGGCGGGTGGCACTGGGGGAGGACCCAAGTGGGGGGTGCAGAAAAGGGCCCCTTTGGGGCTCCTGCAGGGCCCCTGTTTGGGGGGCCAGCTGGTGCCCAGAAAGGGGCCCTAAGGCGCCCCTGTGGGGTCCCTTCCTTCACCCCCCAACTTGGGCTTCCCCCCGCTGCCACCCGCCCGAGAGGAGTCGAGCACGACCGCGCCTGCCTCGCACAGCTCGGGGCCACGGAGCAGCCTGGCATCGCTCGGACGCGTGTATTTTTTCTCGGCGAGGACCCTTGAGGAACATCCTGGATCATCGAGCGATCAACAACGCGCATGAAACCGAAAAACGCACGAGAAATGGATGTCCGAGCGACGGCAAGGCAGGCAGGCTGCTCGGCGTGCGGTCGGAGGGGGGGGGGGGCGGGGCGGCCAGGAGGGGGGCGGTGGCGGGCAGCGCCTGCTCCTCTGGAGCGGGGCGCGCCGTCGGTGTCCGAGTGTGGCAGCGGCCACGGCGTTGATTTGACCCAGAATTGACTGCGAAGGCCTTGCAGTGGGGGCGCGCATCAAGAAACCATGTGCTTTTCGTGAAGGTATCCTGGACTTCTTCGCTCCGCCCGCTGCGCGATGACTTCCCACAGCCGTTGAAGAAGCTGCTGCGTTCAGGGCGCTCCGGGATTCCCCTCAGGCGCACCTCGCGCGCGGGCTTTCAGGGTTGAGTTTCTTGCGAGGGTTTCTTGCGGCCGCGCCCTCACTGTACGGCTGGTGCCGCCGACCCCGAATGGCGACGACGACGACGACGACAAGCGCTCCGAGTATGGCATCGGCTACAGCATTGATTTGACTCAGAATTGATTTGTTCGGCGAGTCTGCCAATGCAGTCAACCCGCATAGCAAGGATGGGTGCCCTTGCATCCTTGCCTTCTCGGTCCATCCTGGTCCACTCGTTGGCCGCGCCCCGCTCGAAGAGCTTCGACATGGGCGTCCAAGGCTCTTGCATCCTTGTTGCGCATCTTTACGATACGGGTCGACTGTAGGGGATCGGCTGCAACATTGATTACCTCAGAATTGATTTGTTCGTCGAAGCGGCCAGACACTACGTAGAACGTTCGTATATCTGTACCAATATCCAGCACACTTGTTGTAGGTTCGACGGGAAGCACAATTCTTGGGTAAATCGATGCGGTAGTCCATTCCCAATTCGAGGTGTCACCGCGGACCTTTTCCACTTGGGACCAACGCCGTCTGACCAACAGCGGCAGCTGTCGGTTTCGGACACAATAGATGTCATCGGGCATCGCTCCCACTTTTTCCTTCCCCACTCCGGGCGTTGCCAACATCTGGGGGTTATGGAAGGGTTGTGACGGCAGTTTTTGCTTCGTTTCAGGCCGATCTCGTTCGGGACGGCAGGCAGTTTTGGCCCCACCGATCTCCGAAGGCCTTCAGAAGCTGCCAAAAAATAGGCCGTGTGCACTCGAGAGCTGGACCCCGTCTTTCGGGGGCGTCCAAGATGAGGGTGAAGACTAGGGGCGTGGATTCATATCATGGTCAGGTCCACGATGCCTCCCAAGATCTCGATGGGTGTTGCTGAAGAAAGCGTGGCGTTCCCACACCAAACATCGATGGACGTCGCGGGTCTCAGAGTTGGGTTTCTGGCGGAAGGTTTTTTGTGGTCGGACCCCTATTGTAACGCTCTAGACGAACCAGTCGCGACCGAAGGTCGGCCTGCAGTCGCGAGTTTCGGTAAACGAGCGAGCCGTCGACGTCTTCGAACCCCTCGCTTTGGCCCTGGCGCGCCGTCTCTTCGCTCATTTCCGAGATTCGACCCCCCCTTCGGTCGCGGCTGAGACTTGTCGCGACCGCAGTCCGTTGCCGAAAGTTCCCCGTCGCGGATGATCTGAGAGGGTCGTGTCGGACAGAAGGCCCCGGGGCTCGGCACCCGTCTCCCTCAGGACCCGAACGTTGCAGTGCCAACTTCTGGGGGCGAGGAGGCCACGTGCGAACCCTGCCCCACCACCCCACGATCTCTGCGGGGTGCGGGGGGCTTCGCTCCGTTCTAACGGACCGGGCTCTATACACCGACGTTTTCTGCGGCCCCGCGCTGCAATTCGCACGAGAGAGCGGATCCTGGTGTATACGGGATCCTGGTGTATACTTGTTTCGTGGTTTCCACGGGAAAACGGGGAAAATAGTATACACCACACCACTCGAAAAGTTCTTGGATCGAAAAACAGCCCCCGCCACTGGTAATGTGTATATGTTCCAGCTTCCGACGTTCGGGACCCCTCGAGACCGACGCGAACCCCATCCCCCCTTCGAGCTCGTGGGGGGGGTATGGGGGGCAGAGGTAGGGGGCCACGTGCGAACCCCACCCCTACCCCCCACGACTTCTGCGCGGGAGGGTGGGGTGCACTTCGCTCGGGAGCTCCCGCGCGAAGTGAACCCCGCCCTCCCCCCCAGAAGTCGTGGGGGGTAGGGGTGGGCTTCGCATGTGGCCCTCTACAGAGGGCCCGCACGGGGCCTCCAGGCGGAGGGGGGGGGAACCGGGCGCGCCCGAGCAGCTTCGGCGTGGGGGGCGGCCGCGCGCGGCCGGCTGCGGCCCCCGCCACCGCGTGCCAGCCTCGACGCGTGGCCGCCCTTGGCTGAAGTCGGGCCTGTCCCCCTATAGGAGGAATATTCAAATTATCCTGGCGATGGACCCAACCATATGCAGTTACGAGTACCGCAAAGCAGGTTGAACGAATGAGAGGGAACTCCCTAAGGGGCCACGAAACGTGTGAGAGGTGTGCCGAAATGGGTGCGGTACCGCCATGCGAACGCAGCCACTGGGGCCCTCGGTGGAGCTCCCTATGGGGCCACGAAACGTGTGAGGGGTGTGCCGAAATGGGCGCGGTGCCGCCATGCGAACGCAGCCACTGGGGCCCTCGGTGGAGCTCCCTATGGGGCCACGAAACGTGTGAGGGGTGTGCCGAAATAGGTGCGGTGCCGCCATGCGAACGCAGCCACTGGGGCCTTCGGTGGAGCTCCCTATGGGGCCACGAAACGTGTGATGGGTGTGCCGAAATAGGTGCGGTGCCGCCATGCGAACGCAGCCACTGGGGCCCTCGGTGGGGCTCCCTATGGGGCCACGAAACGTGTGAGGGGTTGTGCCGAAATGGGCGGGGTGCCGCCATGCGAACGCAGCCACTGGAGCCCTCGGTGGAGCACCCTCAGGGGCCACGAAGCGTGTGAGAGGTGTGCCGAAATGGGCGCGGTGCCGCCATGCGAACGCAGCCACTGGGGCCCTCGGTGGAGCTCCCTATGAGGCCACGAAACGTGTGAGGGGTGTGCCGAAATAGGTGCGGTGCCGCCATGCGAACGCATCCACTGGGGCCTTCGGTAGAGCTTCCTATGGGGCCATGAAACGTGTGAGGGGTGTGCCGGTGCGGTGCCGCCATGCGAACGCAGCCATTGGGGCCCTCGGTGGAGCTCCATATGCGGCCACGAAATGTGTGAGGGGTGTGCCGAAATGGGCGCGGTGCCGCCATGCGAACGCAGCCACTGGAGCCCGCGGTGGAGCTCCCTATGGGGCCACGAAACGTGTGAGGGGTGTGCCGAAATGGGCGCGGTGCCGCCATGCGAACGCAGCCATTGGGGCCTTCGGTGGAGCTCCCTATGGGGCCACGAAGCGTGTGAGGGGTGTGCCGAAATGGGTGCGGTGCGCCATGCGAACGCAGCCACTGGGGCTCCCTATGGGGCCACGAAGCGTGTGAGGGGTGTGCCGAAATGAGCGCGGGCCGCCATGCGAACGCAGCCACTGGGGCCTTCGGTGGAGCTCCCTATGGGGCCACGAAAACGTGTGAGGGGTGTGCCGAAATGGGCGCGGTGCCGCCATGCGAACGCAGCCACTGGGGCCCTCGGTGGAGCTCCCTATGGGGCCACGAAACGTGTGAGGGGTGTGCCGAAGTGGGTGCGGTGCCGCCGTGCGAACGCAGCCACTGGAGCCCTCGGTGGGGCTCCCTCAGGGGCCACGAAGCGTGTGAGGGGTGTGCCGATGGGTGCGGTGCCGCCATGCGAACGCAGCCAATGGGGTCTGCGGTAGAGCTTCCTATGGGGCCACGAAACGTGTGACGGGTGTGCCGAAATGGGTGCGGTGCCGCCATGCGAACGCAGCCACTGGGGCCCTCGGTGGAGCTCCCGATGGGGCCACGAAGCGTGTGAGGGGTGTGCCGAAATAGGTGCGGTGCCGCCATGCGAACGCAGCCACTGGGGCCCTCGGTGGAGCTCCTATGGAGCCATGAAACGTGTGATGGGTGTGCCGGTGCGGTGCCACCATGCGAACGCAGCCATTGGGGCCCTCGGTGGAGCTCTTTATGGGGCCACGAAGCGTGTGAGGGGTGTGCCGAAATGGGGCGGTGCCGCCATGCGAACGCAGCCATTGGGCCCTCGGTGGAGCTCCCTATGGGGCCACGAAACGTGTGATGGGTGTGCCGAAATGAGTGCGGTGCCGCCATGCGAACGCAGCCATTGGGGCCTTCGGTGGAGCTCCCTATGGGGCCACGAAAACGTGTGAGGGGTGTGCCGAAATGGGTGCGGTGCCGCCATGCGAACGCAGCCATTGGGCCCTCGGTGGAGCTCCCTATGGGGCCACGAAGCGTGTGAGGGGTGTGCCGAAATGGGTGCGGTGCCGCCATGCGAACGCAGCCACTGGGGCCCTCGGTGGAGCTCCCTATGGGGCCACGAAGCGTGTGAGGGGTGTGCCGAAATGGGTGCGGTGCCGCCATGCGAACGCAGCCATTGGGGCCCTCGGTGGAGCTCTTTATGGGGCCACGAAGCGTGTGAGGGGTGTGCCGAAGTGGGTGTGGCTGACGCGGAGCGGGAGGAGGGAGGAGGGGGAGGAGGAGTGAGTGAGGGACGCGGGGCGCTGTCTCTTCAAAACGAGGACCCAACACCACAGGATGGTTTGGAAAACTCGTCTGATCTGTTTTCCGATTGTTTTTTTTGTTTTGCTTTTACCATTTTCAGTAGTTCTTTTTTCCCCGTCGAAGATCCCCCTGCAGGGGGACGGGCCCGTCCCTCTACAGGAGGAAGATCCAAAAATAGTGAAAAATAGTCTGGGGCCTTTAAAATAATGTTTTGACCATTCTGGAATAGTTTTTGAGTATTACTTTTTTCTCGTCGAGGATCCCCCTGCAGGGGGACAGGCCCGACTGAACCCTGGGCGCCGGGAGGCGCCGGGAAGCCGAGCACACGGTGCGTGGGCGGTGCTCGAGAGGCGGGGGCGAGGGAGGGGGGGTATTGCATTAGGGAAACAGGTCCCGAGCAGAGCAGCACGCCCCACGACCACGACGACGACGACGACGACGACGACGACGACGACGACGACGGAGACGAGGCGCGTAGACGATCCGCACCGCGAAGCACGGACTCGGGAAAGGGCCCAGCTTGCAGGTTCGGTTAAGCAGCACATCGGTGAGCGGTGCTGCAGCCTCCCCTGAGCACAGGTCCCCCCAGACCCTCAGCCAGACAAGTCGGGTCCAGCAAGGCATGAGGGGGGAAGCGAGGAGGAGGAGGCCTTCGCAGAGGGCGGCGGGACTTCTCAGAGGCCCTCGCGCCTTCTAAGAGGTGTTTCTGTGCCTTCGGGGAAGGCTGAGGGAGCTCCTCAGGAGGCCGGGTGCCTTCCGAACCTTCTGCTGAGAAGGCCTTCTCCTTTGCACTTCCCCCCCTCGCTTGCCGCCGAAACTGGGCGTGATCGGTGCTCAAGCATCGGGGGTCAATGCAAACGGGGGTTAGACAGAGCGCCGAACCTTGCAGGATCCTGCAGAGCCAGGGGCGCATTGACCCAAGTTTGGGTGCAGGATCCTGCAAAGCCTGACTGACACGGGTTTGCATTGACCCAGGTCAGTGGATTTCCAACGTGAGCTGACTGGCTACGGTAGGTTCATGCGGCGTTGGCTCGCCAGCGAGGCTTGTGAAGACGTTCCAGGTCAAATTTTGCGACTCGGAGGCAACGAAGGACACGGTACCGCCACTGGACCCGACGGAATTCAACCTGGAACGATCGAGGCCGCGATCGCTTCAAGGTTGAAGTGTCAAAACCTCTGCGCGCCGACGCCGCACGATTTTGCCGTAACCCCCTCGGGACCCCCCCTCGTTGCCCTTCCCCCATCCGTCCGCCCCGGTCCTCTTCTCTTCCGCAGGGCACTCTGGGCGACACGGGCGACTACTCGAAGCCCATCGCTTGAGCGGGGGCCCCCGCGCCCAGCGCGGGGCCAAGCGCCCTGCAGCGCGGGACGTCGTCGTGGGCACAGAACTGCCGCGTCGCGCTCTCCGCGCGCGCGTGCCGCTGCGGCATGCCGCCGGCTGAGCCACTCGTCGTAAGTTCAGGTGCAACTCCTGGGAGATTGGCTTCAGCGACGGCGCTAATGTCCTCTAGGGTCCACTCCCTGGCCTCCGAGTGCCGCCTCTGAGTCCCCAGGGCCTTCGTTGTTCGCACGCAATGAGTGCCTTGCTAAGTGGGACTCTGTCCACCCCCGACATGAATGAGGGGGATCCCCACCGCTGCCAGGCCTTCTGTCGATGCCACTCGGTCGACCGATTTTTCTGCTCGATCGATAAGGCTCCATCCGCCTCCCCTGGAGCGGCGTTGGGGTCCGTGGGGGTTCTCGGGCGGACTCGGGCGGCCTGGCCCAGAAGCCCCAGAGACCCGCGGGCGGCCCTGGCCAGGCAGCCTCGGGGAAGGAGGAGGAGGAGGAGGAGGAGGAGGAGGAGGAGGAGGAGGAGGAGGAGGAGGAGGAGGAGGAGGGGAGGAGGAGGAGGAGGGGGAGGAGCGAGGAGGAGGGGGAGGAGCGAGGAGGAGGAGGAGGAGGAGGAGGAGGAGGAGGAGGAGGAAGAAGGTGGCGTCCTCGGGCGGACTGGGGCGGCCCTGCCTCTGGATCTTCGGGCGGCCTCGGGTTCCGCGGAGCTCGCGGGACCCGCGTGCGCATGGCCGCAGGCAGCCTCGGGGCCCCCCCGGGGGCCACGCCAGGCAGCCTCCGGGGGGCCCCTTGGCACCTCGAGCGAGATGTCTTGTCGGGCCGAACGAAAGGGGGTGATAGGGAAAAGGGGGGTCAATCACTTACGACTTACGAAATCTGCTGCATGCAGCTGGTTTCGGCCCCGTCGCCGGGCCCATTCTTCGATACATGCGCGCCTCCCGGCGCGGGGAAAATCAGCAAGGGGAGCTGATTCTTAATCCCCCCTTGCTATCCCCCCCTTTCGCCCGGCCCGAACCTCGAGCGAGGTGTCCTGGGCGGCCTGTTGCGGCCGCCTGCCTCGGGGGCCCTTGGGACTCGGGGGGGGAGGGCAGCCTCGGGCAGCCTCGGGGCCCCGCGGAGGGCCTCGGAGGCGGCCCCGGGGGCCCTGGAGCGGAGGTTGGGAAGGTCAGTTGGATTTATTTTTGTTGGCCAGTTCGCCCGATGGCCCACTTCGCTTCGCCCGCGACCGCGGGGCCCCCGTGGCAAGGGTGCCAGGGAAGAGACCTGGGAGATGTGGCGCCGGGTCGCCAACTTCCCCCCCACCCCCGAGAAGCCTAATCAGCGTGACAGGTGTCGTGCGCGTGGGGTGCGGGGTCTTGTACGATGGGCTTTCCAATATACGTTCAGCAACAAGGCCCGTCGTGTTCACACATCCCGGGCTGGCGCTCCTGAAATCAATGATTTGGGGTCGTTTTCAGGCTGCCTCCGAATCCTCATGGAGATCATCTCCTCCAGTTTGAGCTTATCTGGAGGTCATCTCCGGATCCTCTGGAGATCGCGGGGCCGTCGTTTAGTTCATTCTGACGCCACCTTGAGACCGTCTCGGGGCCGTCCTGTTGGTCATCGGGCCATTTCGGCGTCACCCGTTGATCTGATCGCACATTCTGTTTTCCGTAAAGGCTTTGCCCCCTGCCGCCGGTCCCCTCTCTATCATAATGGGATATGGCAGAGTCGCGTCGGTGCGTCGCGGCGCTGCCTTGGCGCATCTGGGAACAACATGCGGGGGCGGATAGGAATCACTAGCGCACATTGAGACGTTGGGGCATGGTGGCCTTCGGCCCATCCCGCCACCGTGCCTGGGTTGTGAGTCTGAGGCCTCTTGTATATGTGTTGGGCTGCCGTGGGGAGCCTCTCGGGGACCTCTTGGAGTTGGTTTTGGCGCCTCTTGGGGGCTCGTGGGGTATCTTGTGGGCCTCTTGGAGGCCTCTTGGGCTCGTCTTGGGCGCCTCTTGGGGCCTCTTGGGGCCTCTTAGCGGCTTCTTGGGGCCCTCCTGTTGGCTCCTCGGGGCAAAAATATACATATCGATTTTTCGATTCTTGGTCCCCTGCTTTGGTCCCTCTTGAGGCCGTCTTCGGGCCATCTTGAGCGCTTCTTGGGCAATATTGCAGCCCGCTTGGGCCGTCTTGGGGCCCTCTTGGAGGCCTTTCGGGTTGTCTTAAGCGGTCTTGGGAGCTTCTTGGGCCGTCTCGAAGCGTCGGAAAGCCGGACATGCGGGAAGACCAAAGTCCTTCAAACGCCTATGTAAAATCATCGATTTGGGCCTATTGGGGCTCTCTCGGGAGGCTTCTTGGAACGCTCTTGGGGCCCTCTTGGGCCGTCTTGGAGCCATTTTCGGGCGCCTTGGAACACTCTTGGCCTCGGCAATGCGAACACTGGGTAATTTAAGTGGGTGTATGGCCTCAGGAACGCGAATATTGATGATGTACAATGGTTTGCTGCCTTGGGGACGCTACAATTGAGTAATTTGCAAAGGTTGATGGCCTCGGGGAAGCGAATGTTGCGTGATTTACTAGGGGTTATGGCCTTGGGTGCGCGAATATCGTGTATTTTTACTTGTCCAACGTCCCCACCCCAGGCATTCAGGCAACGCGATCCGGGCGTGGTAACTTGCTGGTTTGAGGCTCCCCCCCTTCGCGCGGACTTCAACAATTGACAGTATGAAGCAGAAATCATGACTGTAATAGTGGGGCCTTACAATGCAACTGGTGCAGGGAGAAGCAACTTCGCCCTACAGCCTGGTGGCCCCACCAGGGGGCCTGCGGATTTTCTGAGCCCATCGTGAAGCCATTTTGGGTCGTCTTGAGACCGTCGTCGGGTCGTCTTGAGGCCATTTTGGTGAGAGTTGGGTTGGGGTCGTCTGGAGGCCTTTCGCGTTTCCATGGAACGCACGTTACCACGGGAATCCATCGGGGACCAATGCCTTCTAGAACACCCAAGCTGGCGGGCAATGCCATATGATGGGTGGGATGGACAGGATGTAAGATTTGGCGCGAGCGCACCTGACTTGTCTTTCCTTCTTCGCCGATGTCGCATGTCATCAGGAGTTGCTTTCGGACGGTCCCAGGACCGGGACACAGACTCCAGAGGATGAGCACGTCCATCAATTGGATGCCATAAATATTTATCATCCCCCGTTCGCTCCTCCTCACTACCTTCCTTCATCTTCAGAACCGAATGATCAATACGACCAGCTTCTTCTTGGCAGAAGAGCCGCGGCCCTTCGGATTATTCTTGCTTCGCATACCCAGTCCCAGTGGGGGCGGGCGTCGGGGATCACATAACAAAAACACACATGTGGAACCCGCATCTCCCCCTCCTACCCGACAGTTGGGTTTTTGGGTTGGGCTGGGGTGGCCTGGTGGGTAGTCACTACTGGGGACGCGCATCAAGAAACCATCAGCTATTCGTTAGGGTACCCTGGGTTTCTTCGCTCCGCGCGCTGCGCGATGACTTCCCGCGGCCGTTGAAGAAGCTGCTGCGCTCAGGGTGCTCTGGGGTTCCCCCCCGTGTGCATCTCGCGCGCGGGTTTTCAGGGCTGGGTTTCTTGCGAGGGTTTCTTGCGGCCGCGTCCGCACTGTAGCAGGGGCTGTCATCCGGGACCTCTCACCGGCGCTCCGCTCCGCCCCGCCGTGCTGCTGAGCGCCGCCGGGCCGCGGCCCCCGCCGTGTCGGTCCCCTGCCCAAGCGGCCGGCCGCTGCCGCTGAGGGCGCTCGCTCCCTTCCGTTCCTCCTCCTCCTCCTCCTCCGCCGTCCTTTCCCCCCTTCCCTCCCTCCCTCCTCGCCTCCTGCGCCGAGGCTCGAGGGGCCCGCCGCCCAGGCCCTCCCCCCGTGGCCCTGCCTTGACCACCGAGGGCGTGCTGCTCTCGGCGCCCACGGGCCACGCCGGGGTTCTCGGCGGTGGCGGCGACGGCGGCGGCGGCGGCGACGACGGCGGCGGCGGCGACGCCGACGACGACGGCGACGGCGACGACGACGACGACGGCGGCGGCGGCGACGCCGACGACGACAGGAAACGACGACGGGTGCACGCGTGCAAAGTGGATGACGTGTCAGTAATGAGTGCTGCTCTCAGTCCACGGGCCCCGACGGGGTTCTCGACGACGGCGGCGGCGGCCGCGACGACGACGACGGGAATCGTCGACGGGTGCTCGCGTGCAAAGTGAATGACGCATCAGGTCCCGCCCGACCCGACCCGCCCGCCAGAGTCCGCCCGCCTCAGGCGCAGCCATCCAACGTCTTAGCCAAAAAGAAGACGGATGTTCTTCGCAGTTTTCTGGACTGCAAGTTGGTCTGGGGCTCCGGAGTCGTCAAGCAACGACCCGGGCCGAAAAGCCAGCTCTGGGGAAAGTGTCGGTCGGGACTTCAGGGACCCCGTAATGATATAAGTAGGAAACAGGATGTACGGGTAACCAAGGCGCTGACATTCTCGTGTCAGGAAAATTCGAGAAGGATGGTTTTTGTTCAGTGTTCGGCGTTTGGGGGTCCTTACCGAGCTCTGAACTGCTCAGGATGAAAAAGCCGATCCTGGGGAAAAGCTCCAGACCTTTGGGGAGCCACGTGGTGCGAACGAGAAAACACGACGTCGAGGGTTTGGTGTCATCCAGCGTTTCGAGACATCTGCCGTCTTCGGCCTCCAGATGCCACGTTCGGATCCCAGGACAGTTGGAAAGCACGCAGCATGAAAAGCCAGCCTGGGAAAATAGCAGGATATGAACATATTCGGACATTGCAGGTCCAGGCTTCAGACACCCTCCGACGTGATTTCCATCCGCGGCCCCAGAGTTCCTGACCCCTTCCCCGGGGTGGTTGCTCGTCCACGGAATCGTTTCTGATGGTCTTGGGTATTGAGAGGGGCCGCCTGGAGGCCGCAGTGGACGAGAAACGCCTGGGCTGAAATAGATCATGTCGCCTGAGATCTGGGACAGCCCTTGGGCCGAAACAACAAGTGGCCGCTATTTTAAGACTCGGTGAATCTACTTGCATGGAGATGGGCCCATCCACGGGAGGGGGGGGGGGCGAGGCCTGAACGGAAATCTGGATTTCACGCTAGTCGGGACACACACTTGCACGCCTTTTCGGCCGAGCGCTGTTTGAAAAGGCGGCGGAGAAATGGGGGGGATGGTCAGATGTAATGCAAGGGAGCCTGCCTGGGTCTAAAGTGAATTGCCCTCTTGGCGGAATCAAGAGATACCGATGCCGCTGGTCCCTGGACGCGCATTGGGGTGCGCTCTGGGCAGATCTTGGAGGCGAGTTCGGCCGTGGCGATGGAGGGCCCCCCAGGTGGCCCCAAAAGGGCGAAGCGTGCGGCGAAAAGCGATGAGGCAGGTCAACCTGCCTCAGTCCGAAGTACAGTCAACCATGATAGTGAGGATGGGCAACCTTCCCAAGGATACCCTTGCATCCTTGCATCCTCGGTCCATCCTTCGCCGCTTTCTCCGGCCGCGCCCCACTCGAAAAGCTTCGAAATGGGCGTCCAAGGCCCCTGTATCCTTACACGCCAGTCGTTGAAAGTAGGTATATCGGGGTGCCCAAATTCCAATCTACTTGAGGCGCCTTCCTACTTCAAGAGTTGAACGGTGTTCCTCTTCCCTCCTCTTCAGGGGGCGGGCGGAAGTCCAATCTACTTCCAACGCTTTCCTGCTTCATGTTTCTACCCACTTCTTCCGACCAGCGTGTATCGCGCATCCTCACTATTCTGGTTGACTGTAACCACCCTCCAAGCGACAGCACCGGGACCGAGAGCACCACTCCGCCGGGAGGCCCCAGGCCGCGCACGCGCGGCTCCCGCCGCCGGGCTGCGCCTTGGTTGGCAGCTGGCCGCGCGGCCCCCGTCGCGGAGATGGCGACTCGGCCGCCGCCGCGGCCGCCGCCGCGGCCGCCCGCTGGCGTCCGTGGCCGCCCCCCATCTCCTCCTCCTCCTTCTCCTCCTCCGCCTCCTCCTCCCCCGGAGCCTCCCCCTCCTCCGCCTCCTCCTTCTCATTCTCATTCTCATTCTCCTCCTCCTCCTCCTCCTCCTCCTCATTCTCATCCTCCTCCTCCTGTTCTTCGGGTCGCCTACGGCCCGCCTCGGCGTCCGTGGCCGAGATCGGGGGCAACGATAGAGGGGGACGGGCATCGGGGGGGGATGCATCGACCCCCAATGGCCCATTGATCGCCGATAGGGGCCGGATAGCCCCAGCCCGCCCAGTGCGGACTCACTGTCGGGGGCCCGTCGCTGATCTATCGGCGACGTATCGCCGATTCCAGGTCGATGTTCCACCCCCTATGCCTATTCCCCCCTATCGTTGCCTCTCACGAGAGGGACAGGGATACTCCAAATCCCTAATCAATCGACCCCCCCTACAAAGCGGGACCCCCCTCCAAAAATGCAACCTACTATTCCGGACCCCCCTCTTCGACGGGGCGCCTTTAGAAACGGGACCCCCTGAGCTCCAATCCAATGAAAGCGCCCTAATAAACCGGACCCCCCCAGTTACAAAAAAGGCGCGTAAAAAAGACGGACCGGGGAACGATTAATAAGGGATTTGGAGTAGGCTTGAGATAATGTTTCTTTGACGTGTTGGTTGCTGCTCACAGTGGCTGACGATGAAGACGAGGAGGATGAGGGAGGGGGAGGCCGATGTCGAGTGCTCAGCTGGATCACCAGGGACGCCCGAGGAGGACGCGGAGAAATCATTCGGAGTGGCTTGCTTTCCAGGCATTCGCTGCTGCTGTATGGCAGGACGAGGGAGCTGAAGACAAGAGGGAGGGAGGAGGATGAGGACGGGTGCAGTGATGAGCAGCAGCAGCAGCAGGAGGAGAGGCTTGATACAAGAATTCGTTGGGGTGTTCGGTGCTGCTGGATTGTTGGGAAGCTGAAGACGAGGATGAGAATAAACGAGGAGGACGATCGTCAGGGCGGAGCTTGCTGATCAGGCGTGCCCGAGGAGGACGAGGAGTTACTATATGAGGGAGTTGGTTTTGAAGAGTGTCGGTTGTTCCAGGACGAGAGAGTCGAAGGGTAGACTATGTGTGACAAGACCGATCGCGAAGCTTTTATGAACCAAATCATCGCTGAGCTTGATGAAGGAGACCACCAGGATTGGGCAAAGGTCAAACGAACACGCCACACGCCAGGGAGGCTCACCGCGCGCTGTGGTACTTCTCCGCATTTGTTTCCACCGGCCACGTTTTTGATTACACCCAATCGGCTGGGATGCTTACTCGGCGCGGCAAGGGGGGGGGTCTGCACGAAGCCGTGGTGGACAGCGTGACCTCGGTGGTGCCCGAAGAAGGGGCACTGCCCAACCAACGCACCTGGATGTCACAAGTGAGCGATTGAGATCTCGTGGAAAAGGCGCGCAAGCCCGCGTGCCATTGCCACCAGCAGGCTGGGACTGATCGTACGGATGGGGAGCCACTGCAAAGGCCCCTTATTGTTGCTTGCGCTGCGCTGGCTCCTCGGACGGCGGTGCGATACCACGAAGCGGCCTCCGAGCTGAGATCACGCCACGGTTCTATCCGGCCTGAGTGACCCCCACCCAGACCCAAGCTTGCAGGCCCAACGACTCCATCTTGTCGGCGAGAAGATTGCAACCCTCGATGCTGCGCCTCGTCGGAGTCTAGTGCTGCCGCGGAGGCACAAGCTCCCGCGCGAGCAGCGGCCGTCGCGCGCGCTGCTGCCGCCTTGGCTGTGTGCGCATGCCGTCGATATCTAGATGGACGGCTGTGCGCTTCTTCGGTCTCGGCTCCCGATCCCTAAACCCTGAATCCTAAACCATGAACATGCTTTCCCAAAATCGATTCAAATCCTGAACAACAACTCCCCTAGGAATTCTGCCCTGGGAAGCTAATTTCTAAATTCGACACGATCAGGGTGCGGTGCACATCGCCATGCGAAGCTAATTCCCAAACTCGCACGATCCTCCATAAAGCATGTGGCGCGGGCCACAACCCGCGCGCGCGGACGAAAGGAGCGAATTCCTGCCATTGAAATGGGGCGCGGGGCACATTCCGCCCACGCGGCTGCTCTGCGCCCTTCACGGCCGCCGATGAAAAAATATGGGCGTCCTATTTGGACGCGCTCCCTTTGGATATTCCTTTTGCTCATCCGTGTGTCCCCTGAGCTGCTCGATCAATGATCCCATCGCATTTTGTTGTCAACTCTGCGAGTTTCTGGTGGTTTTGCAAATCGCCCTTCACGGCCGCCGATGAAAAATGTGGCGCGGGGCTCATTCCGCCCACGCGGCGCCCGCTCGAGGGCGGCGCGCGCTTCGCAGGGGCCGCCGCGCGCCCCCCAGGCGGCCCCCAGGCACTCCGAGGCGAGGTTGCGCGCTCCTCCCAGGGGCCGCCGCGCGCTCCCGTGCTGCTCCGCCTGCCTGCTGCTCCTCCCGCGTGCTCCTCGATTGTGAGATCGATCGTCAGATCGATTGTGATATCGATCGAATGAAATAGATCGAGTGAGACCGATCGAGTGAGATCGATCGAGCGAGACCGATAGTGAGATCGATAGTGAGATCGATAGTGAGACCTATCGAGTGAGACGTTGGTTCCTCCCCCCCGAACCTCCTTATCACCCGAAGGTGGTCATATAGGTTGTAGTAGCAACCCCTCCCTGCTCCTCCCGGCCTCCCCCGATGGCTCGCATGCACCAAAGCGTGTGCCTTCATATGAAGCGGGTGTCTAGGGTGGGTGGGATGTGAGCACCACGCTGGTGTGTGACACCTTTCAGTCTGTTGACGTCTTCGCGCGCTCGTTGACCCGAAACCCGAAACCTTGCACCCTCAGCGCGAGGCTGGACGCTTCCGCGGCGAAGGTAATGCGCGGCCGCTTGCTAGACCTGCCTGGGGTCCGTCGTCCGTCGCGGCGGACATGCGGCGCTTGAACATGCACAGCTTCGGGAGGAACAGCTGCCAGTGCCGCCTCAGCGCGGCACTATGAACAGATGCCTCCTTTCGAGATGGCATGCGTGTGTTTCCATGTTTTGTCGTATACCTTTGCAGGTCGACGGAACACAATGGCCTGATCCGCATCGGGTGGGACGTTGGGATAGCATGACCTCAGTGACACTTAAGGGGCAAGCTGCTGTCATCGGCGAGTGCAAAGTGATGCGGGCCTTGAGTTAAATGACCAAATCCAGTGCAGTGCCCTGTTTAAGCTAGAACCTCTTCTCGTCCGCAGCCCTGGTTTTCCCGTCTTTCCATCTCTCTATATATTTGTATAGATTTGTAAGTCGTCGTGATATCATGTGTTCGTACCGCGTAGGGGGCCATGGCGCACCTTGCGGGCGCGCCGCATGTAGGGTTCGGCAGGGGATACCACCCAGGCGAGCGGTCAGTTGCTCGGTACGCCTGGAGTTCTGACGTTGCTCGGACTTCATGCTCGAGCGCGCAGCGTTCTATGTCTGGTCCCTCGGCTTACCTCATACTGTCACAGTTTGGCCGAATGATTGCCTACGTCACCCCTCGAGGGTCCTTGTCTTGCTGGCTGGCCTTCGGAAGTTGGTGTTCTTTGTGCATTTCCCCTCTTTCCTTTTCTCTCTCACTCTCCATCTTGTTCTGGAGTTACCGTGCCAACACTTGTCCAGCTGATGCTAAGGCATAAAGGGGGGCAGCAGTGGATTAGCAGGTGCGCCTTGATGTAAGCATGCTCAGTGGAGTTGCAGGGCTGCCTGGTGGAAATGTATCACATGCTTCAGTCCGGTTTGGCAGTTTTGACACACGTCGCCCAGCTCGAATCCGACATGCTCTGGCTGTAAGGTCATTGCCTTGCCCAGAGAGCAAGCAGACGGCGGCTCAGCCTAGAGGAGAAGGACTCACCCTCGCATCGAAGAGCCCTCGCGTTCGGGAGCGGAGTCTCGCTGTGCCATTGCCCCCCGAGGCATAACGGCACGAGTATCAGCAGCTGGAAGGCAGGACGGGACAGCGAGTGTCGTGAAGTGTGCGGGGCTGGCCTTTGCCCCCCCGCCCCCCCTCCCCATACCCCGCGTCTCTGCCTCCTCGGACTGCGGGCCCACTCTGGGGGCCCTGTCTCGGCCCTGGCCCCGCCCCGCCCGCCGGGGGGCTCCGCCCAGAGCTGCGCCCGCGAGCCTGCGTGCCTCGACCTCGCCTCGCCGACGTCGTGTGCAGCACCGCTGCGCTGATCGCCAGCGCAGCTGGTGTGCTTCTCCCAACGCACACTGAGAAGCTGCACTGTGCTGCCTCGTGGTGCTTCCGCAGCTTGCAAGCCTCCGGCGAGCAGACAACCTGGTAGACCATCCAGGAGAGACTCTTTCCCACGCCGCCCATCGTGAATTCGAGATGCCTTGGTGCAGTCGCCGCCCTGCCGTCGCTGTCCACACTATGCATCGACCGGTTGTTTGCGGAAGCAGGGGTTGACCTGAACGATGTTTTTGCGAATTCGTGGGCCGTTTTTGTTTCGATTTTGTTTTGCGCGAAAGGCGGATTGAAGACAAAACGCGGGAAAACGAAAACAAAACGAAAACGAACAACACCGTTTAGGTTCAGCCCTGTTCAGAAGCATCAGCGAGTTCATTATTGAATGTGTGGCAAATAGTTTACAGGCTATCGAACAGGGACCTTAAGCTCGGACGTGGAACTGTCCAGGACAAGGGGGCTCACCCACGCCATGTGTCGCGAAACTTGTGTGAAAGTAAGCACGGCGATTCGTATGCAGGCGTGCATGTTTGTAACTTCCAAGTTTCTCCTCCTGAACTCGCGTGGCGTGTCCCTCCGCCGCCTGCCGTTGCAGCCTCAAGATTTGTTTCGATGCTTGAGCACGGAGCTCCAAAAAGACCTGGACTTCGAGGGCTGAGGTCCAACGGGGCTCCCCCCCTGGAACTCCAAATCTGAGGCTGGGCTCAATCAGCAGTTTGGCACATGCCCCAGCGTGGCCCCAGGACTGCCCCGGGTGCTCCAAGAGCCCCCTATGGAAGTCAGGACCAGAGCGGGCTCGGCCGGGGCTCGCTGTCTGGTCTGTCTGCGGTCGCGTTCTTCGAGCGCCCCTCGTGCGCCCGAGCGGTTTCTGGTGGGAGAGGGGGCCCATTCCTTATGCCGCGTTGCTGACGATGGGAAGGAGAGCTCGAGAGCGACTAGAGTTGTGGAGGACGATCAAAGGCGAGGCAGCATGCTGCCAAATACTTTCCAGATGTCTATACCATGTGTTAAACATGTTTGAGATATGTAAACAAACATGTTTAGACAATTTTTCCGACATGTTAAACACGTGTTACATTCAATGATCGGATTGTTATGGTGTCCATTGCCGTGGCATCCACAAGACTAGAGCGGGACTCGGGATAGCAGTTTGACCAGGCGCGGGGGAGGACACAGAGGAGGAGCTCCGTCAACCCACAGGTGAAGGGCACGGCCAAGATCCCGTCCATGCGGTCGGGCGACTGGATCTGCCCGCGCTGCAGGCCTGGACGAGGATGTCAAGGGAGAGGTGCATCGACTAGTGTTGTGGAGGACGATCAATGGAGGGACAGCATGTTGCCAAACAATTTCCAGATGTCTAACACAATGTTTTAAACATGGTTTAAACATGTAAACAATATTTGAAACATGTGTAGAACATTTTCCCAACATACTAAACAGATTTTAAATTCAGTGATCGGACTGTTCGAGTGTCCATAGTCGTGGCATCCACAAGACTAGCGATGTGGGAGGAGTGAAACAGATGCTGTCGGCACAGTGCGGATGCAGGAGTAGGAGGGATGAGGGGGGGGCGGGAGGGGGGAGGGAGCAGGAGGAGGAGAAGGAGGGCGAACCACCCCAAGCCACGGCTCACCAGCGAAATTTGGATACACACTCCCAAGTTTCCTCTTAATAGGCCCATGCAAGGATTCATTTCCACTGAGAGAAGTGCCCCGTTGGGGGGGCAACTGTGTGAACATTTTGAAACGTACCAAAACACCATTCTCAGGACTCCAGCGGCACGAGTCAACCTGACTGTTGCGCCGTGGCGATCCCGACTCGTGCCAGAGCATCATTCCTTGGACTCCAACACCGCGACTCAGCGTAATGAACTGTTGCGCCCGCTGATTGTGCGCAGCGCTACGGCAAGGGCCTCAGTTTGAAATGGAACCGCCCTCAACCTGTGAAACTGTTGCAAGTTTGCCCAACCCTCCAGTGTTGGGCTCTCGTCTTGAATGGAGCACTGTGGGCGAGTCTCCTCCTTTCCCCCCTCCTGCCTCCTGCCTCCTACTTCCTGCCTCCTGTCTCCTATTCCTACTCTCCTTCGGCCTGCTTGCGTTGCAGTCCCGTCTCGCTCCTGGGAGGGGGACCTGGGAGGGGGACCTCGCGGCTCCCTGTGTGGCTGCGAAGTGCGCCACTGTCGCCATTTTTGCGGGCTCCTTGAAGGCCCAGCGAAGTGGAGTTGTATGCCGAGCCAGCCGAGACCTCGCGGTTCCTTGGGTGGTTGCGAAGTGCGCCACTGTGGCGATTGTCGTCGGCTCCCGCGAGGCCCAGCAGAGTGGATTTGTAAACACACCAAGCCGAGACTTCGCGGCTCCCCGGCGGGCTGCGAATTGCGCAAGGGTCGGCATTCTCTTGGGCTCCTGGGAGGCCCATCGGAGTGGAGTGGTAAACATCAGGTCGAGTCGTCGCGGCTCCCTGGGAGGCTGCGAAGTGCGCCTCTGCCCTTGGCTCTTCTTAATCTGCCCAGGGTGATTGTACCGTTGTTGGTTCGGCGTGCCGGAACTGATTGGTTTAGAACTTTCGGTCCCCACACGAAAACTAAGCACGCAACACTCACACGCACACAACTCATTGTTGTTGTGCGTTTTTAGCTACGTCTTTCCCCAACAGTCCTGTGGAGTTGGGTCCTCATTTCGAATTCGCAGCGCCGCGCATCTCCTTCCCTCCTCACTCCTCCTCCTCCTCCTCCTCCTTCTCCTTCTCCTCCTCCTTCCCTTCCTCCTCTTCCTCGTCAGCATCAGCATGCAGATAGCAATTACCATCCTCATCATGATCATCCCATTTTCGGTCATACCCCTCACACGGTTCGTCCCCCCCCAGGGAGCTCCACCGAAGGCCCCAGTGACGGCTCTAGCAGTGCAGGAGGCCCCATCCTCCGCTTCTCTTTTCTCTCTTCGCAATTTGGGAGGGCTCTCGCACGTTTTGGCCCCGGTGGCAGGGTTCACATGGGCACCCGCCCCATCTCGGCAGACCTCTCAGACGTTTCGTGGCCCCAGAGGGGGCCCCACCGAGGGCCCCACTGGCAGGGTTCACATGACTACCCCCCATATTCTGGCAGACCTCTCACCCTTCGTGTCCTCGTAGGGAGCTCCAGCGAAGGCCCTGGTGGCAGGGTTCGCACGCCCACCCAGGTCCATTTCGGCAGACCCTTCATACGTTTCGTGGCCTCGTAGGGAGCCTCAACCGAGGGCCCCAGCGGCAGGGTTCACATGAGTACCCGCCCCATTTTGGCAGACCCCTCGCACGTTTCGTGGCCCCATGGGGAGCTCCACCAAGGGCCCCAGTGGCAGGGTTTTTTCTCATCCTGTCCCCTGTTTCCGCCGCAACCATTGCCCTCGCTCTCCGCGCCGCGTGCATGGTTAACCTCCCTCGTGTGATGTGCGTCGTGCGAGTGCGTACCGAGGCTGTTCCGACTCTCTCTGGCGAAGTTATCAGGGACATTGCGGAGCCCCCTAACGAGTTCTTGTGCACTGAGCGGTCATGTTGTTCGCTTCCATGTCCGTAGAATGAGGTGGGTTCTTCGCCAGGACAAGTAGCGTTGGTTTCACTTCAGTTGGTTACTTTGTTCATTGTTTAACGTTGCTGTCTACGACGTCCTCAGTTCCTTCTCCTGGCGTGCAGACCTCTCTGGATGCATACTGGCATCATTCATGCTCCTCTTGCTCTTCTCTTGCCCTTGCTGCCGGCTGGGGCGTCGGGCCGGGCCCGAGGGCCGATTGCCCCTCCTGGGGCCATCGGGCCTGTGGGCCTGTTTCGGGCCGGTGTTAGACCGGTGTTGAATCGTTGTCCCGAAAGCGGCGGCAGGCACGAGAGAGCGGGAGAGACGACGGTAGGGAAAACAAGGAACAGCGTTTTCGACCAGACAGCAAGCAAACGCAACAAAACAATTGACCACAGCGGCGGGCCTAAACACGCTGAGCAAACTGAACCAAAAACGCTAAGGACACTGAACTCAAAACGCTAAACAACCGCCGCGTATGTTTAGCGTTTTTTAACAGTGTCATGCGCCCAAAGTGAAAAACGGTACAACACACGCCAAGGGCATGTGTGAGAAGAACCAACATTTGTCTCAACTTTCGTGGGCTCCTGGGAGGCCCAGCGGAGTGGAGTGGTAAACACACCAAGCCGAGACCTCGCGGCTCCTTGGGCGGCTGCGAAGTGCGCAACTGTCGCCTCTTTCGTGGGCCCGTGGGATGCCCAGCAGAGCGGAGTTGTAAACACCCAGCCGATACCTCGCAGCTCCTTGGGGGGCTGCGAACTGCGCATTTGTCGACACTTTCTTGGGCTCCTGGGAGGCCCAGCGGAGTGGAGTGGTAACCACACCCAGCCGAAACCTAGTGGCTCCCTTGTGGGCTGCGAATTGCGCATCTGTCGCCACTTTCGTGGGCTCCTGGGAGGCCCGGCCGAGTGGAGTGGTAAACACCCACCCTAGACCTCGTGGCTCCCTGGGGGGCTGCGAAGTGCGCAATTGTCTCCACTTTCATGGGCACCTGGGAGGCCCAGCGGGATGGTGTTGTAACCCCACCCAGTCGAGTCATCGCGGTTCTTTTGGGGGCTGCGAATTGCGCATTCGTCGCCACGTTCGTGGGCTTTTGGGCGGCCCAGCGGAGTGGAGTTGTAAACATTTCCAGCCGATACTTCGCGGCTCCCTGGGGGGGCTGCGAATTGCGCATGCCAGTTTCGTGGGCTCTTGAGAGGCCCAGCGGGATTGTGCTGTAAACGCACCTAGCCGAGACCTCGCGGATCCCTGAGGGGGCAACGAACTGTGCAATTGTCGCCCTTTTCGTTGGCTTCTGGGAGGCCTAGCCGAGGGGAGTTGTTAACACACCCAGTCGAGACCTCGCGGCTCCCTGGGTGGCTGCGAAGTGCGCAACCGTGGCCATTTTCGTGGGTTCTTGCGGGTCTTGCCGCTGGCTTCGCCGAGGCCTTTTGCGCTCCAGATGGACGGAACCTGCGCTCGAGAAGGTGAAGCGTATGCCAGCGAGCTTGATGCTGCCATGGCGGCCGCCTTTCACCGCGCAGCTGAGCAAGTTGTGCCGGCGGCGACGCTGACTCCGCGAAGGCCATGGATATCTAGCCGCACCTTGTGCACCTCATCCAGCAACGCTCTGACGCAAGGTTGGCCCACGACCACAGTGCTGAGAAGAGCCTTGGTGTCGCGGTCAAGAGATCTGTCAAGGAAGACCGCACCGCGTGGCTGGAAAACGTACTCGTCACGGGGGACTGGAGCCAGGTGCGACGACTTCGCAAAGGTTTCTGCCCGCGGTAAGGCCGGCTCCGGATCCGCGAAGGGCGAGTCGTCGATTCTGAGGCCCGGGCGGACACCATGGCGGAGTATTTCAGCGAGGTGCACTGAGCTGCTCGGGACACCACGGAGACGCGTGAAGAAGCACTGGGCCCGGCCCTCCCTGTTGACCTCGGCCCCATACTTGACGGCGCGGTAGAGGCAGCGGCCCGAAAAACGAAATTGGGCAAAGCGTGCGGCTCGCACGGCGTGCTGGGGTCGCCAGCGAGGAGATGGGCGACGGCGCTCTGCTCGAAGTGCTGGGAGGATGGCGTGGTCCAAGACGCCTGGCACGAGTCGCTGGTGGTCGCAATTTTCAAAAAGGGCGACGAATCTCTCTGTGAGAACTAAAGGCCGATCTGTCTTCTGCAAGCTGGCTACACGCTTAACGCTACCGTACTACTGCGACGCCTTTAGGCAGCCGGCACCGACTCGCGCGTCTGGCCGACGCAATTTGGATTTAAGTCGCAGAGCGGAACCAGAGACGCCATCTTCATGGCGAGGCGATTCTTGGACGATGCGTGGGAAGCGAAAGACGGTCATCTCGTCTTCCTCGCGCTCGACTGGGCCAAAGCCTTCGACAGCGTTGACCCTGCGGCCTTACTGCTGGCTCTGCGCCACTTCGGGCTGCCGGACAAGATGCTGAAGGCCGTGGGCGCGATCTACACCGGGCGCCGCTTCGCTGTGCGGGGCGCTGGGCAGACATCTATCTCGCGAGAGCAGCAGGGATGCCATCTCTCCCCCTTCTTATTCGCCATGGTCATGACGGTCCGCCTGACCGATGCGAAGCATAAATGTGGGGCGGCTGCGGGCGAGGTCGACGACCTCGTCTACGCTGACGACGCCGATCGTGGCTACATGCGGGCCATTTCGGATGCCGGCGCCAACTGCGGCCTGCGCTACAACTGGCGGAAGCTGGAAGTGCTGCCGGTACGGTTCCAAGCGTCTATCTCGAAGCCAAATGGCCAGTTGGTTGTCCAGAAGGAGGGCCTCGTGTACATGGGCGCTGTGCTCCCATCCAACGGCAACGTCGACGCTGAGCTTCCGCAAAGGCTCGGAGCGGTGAGGTCTGAGTTCGACAAGCTAGCTCGCAGATGGTCTCATAGCACCCTGTCCGTGTATAACAACGTGAATATTTTCAACGCGTGTGTAATTTCAAAGCTTTTGTATAGTCTTCACACCGCGCGGTTCACAAGACAACACATAGCTGTCCACATTAGACGCTTCTCAAGCATGCTGTTTGCGAAAGGTTTCTGGTATTCCGCATTCTCATATAGTCACGTGACATTTTTCCGGCACTTGGCCAGGCGAGGCAAAGCCGGTTGAGCCAGATCTTGCTGACGTGACAACTTACACTTCTGGGCAAGATCGCGCGCATGGGCGACGGCCACCCCGTGCGCGGATGTCTTTTCAAGGTTGGAAGCGCGGGGCCTCGAGATCCACCCTCAGTCCGCCGGCGCGGCCGCCCCAAACAGGCGTGAGCGCGCGAGGTGTATCAACGTGCTGTGCATGCATGTGTGCGAAGAAGTGTCGATAGGTCAGAGGTTGCTGCAATACCGGCAAGCGTTTGGAAAAACACGGCGCTTGAGTACAGCCGATCTTGTTTGCTCTCTTACACTGCTCACGTGCGTGTCGCGCGGCTTCTAATAGTTGCGGGTGTTTCAACACGTTCGTTTGTACTGGTCGGTCTTGTGTATCGTCGCCACATGCGTAGAAAGTACTGGGTGCGCCGCAGTGTAATTTAATACGACCGTGGGCGGCGCTAAGGTGACAGCCACATTTTGAAAAAAAAAAAAAAAAAAAAAAAAAAACGTTCTCAATCCGTGAAATCTTGCAGTTGTTAAAACCAATTTTGGTGGCGTTAACACGTGAGCCACATTTTGAAAACGACCCGTTCTGTATATGTAAATTGCATGCAACTGTTCGAAGCGAGCGCGCGTGGCGTTGAGGCGAGAAACACATGTTGGAAGCGACCCGCCCTCTATCCGTGAATTTGTCGTTTGTTTCGGAGTTTGAGGATCATCAGCGGTGAAAAAGTCTCAGGCGAAATTCCCGGCCCGCCCTTCCAACTGGCTTCGGGGTGTTACGCGGAGGGGTTATTATTTCGCTTTGCTCTTTCTTCTGGCCCATTTCGCATCGCGGCGGGGCAGGCATGATTGTCTTCGTGGAAGTCATTGGAGATGTGGCTCGCGCGTTGCCGAAGAGAGCCGATCGATTGCTTCAAAGGGCGCCAAAGTGACTCAAGAGAACTCCATCAGAGTTTCGAGACGTACCTGGGTTGTGGGTCAAAAGTCCTCATGGATGCTCTTGGGGGCCTCTGGGGAACAGTTGTGAGGCCTCTGGGGAGCTACTGGGGGATGTCTTGGGGCCCTCTTGGGGCTTCCTGGGGGCCTCTGGGGTTTCCTGGGGGCCTGTCGGGGATTTTTGGGGCCTCTCTTGGGTCTTCTTGGCGGCCTCTCGGGGTTTTTCTCTGGGTTTCTGGGGGTTTCCTGGGCGCCTTGGGGTCGAGAGCTCGTAATGTCTGTGCGGGTTCCCCCTGCGGGCTCTCTCTTGGGGTCATCCTGAGGCCGTCTTGGCGGCCTCTTAGGCCGTCTTCGGGCCATCTTGGGGTCCTTGGGTTTTTTGTATGTGCCGTTTTGGATCGATCTTGGGGTATCTTGGGCCGTCCAGGGCGGTCGGCAGCTCGAAACGGCGGTACCGCCGAAATCGTAAGACAACTCATGCAAAAAGAATGGTTTGTGCGTCTCCTGGGGCTCTCGAAGTCCTTGCAACCCTCCTGGAGTGCCTTGGGCGCTTCTTGGACCGTGTTAGAATCAACGTGGGCCATCTTGGGACGTTGTTGGCCCGAGGCCGTGGGGCAATGCCACCCTTGTGGAGCCTCATTGGGGCGCTCGGGGGGGCAGCGCCCAGGAGTTCCGGCATCTCTGACCCGACCATGCCGGGACCTTGCTGGGGTATTTTTCACCCCAGGGGCCGCCACGCGCCCGCGAATTAGAAACATGTTTACTTTTTAATTGCAGATTTTAGCACGGCTCTGGCAGGTTGGGCCAGCGATTTTTTTCTATAAGGAAAAAGAATGGATGAGGACCTCGGATGAGGAGGAGCAGGAAGAGGGAGGCAGAACGGGAGGGGGAGCAGCAGCAGGAGCAGGGTGGGTAGGAACAGGAAGAGGAGGACTACGCACTGTACGCCTAGGCCGAGGAGGTAGCCGAGGATTGCGAGGAGAGGCCAGGGGCAGTCATGGAGGAGCGACGCGGGAGCAACGACCAGGCAGCTTCCCCGACCGCAGCACGGCCACCGCGCGGGCACGGCCCCACTGCGAAGGCCATGGGGCCAGCCTTGGGCCTTCCGTCCGCGTGCCTTCCGGGCACAGGTTCGGTCGGCTCGGTGGTGTCTCCACGGCGCTTGTGTCGGGACCCTCCTGCTCCTCCTCCTGCTCATCCCCCTCCTCCACCTGTCTCCTCCCCTTCCTCCTCCCCTCCTCCCCTCCTCCTCCTCCTCCTCCTCCTCCTCTTTCTGCTCCTCCTCCTCCTCCTCCTCCTCCTCCTCCTTTCTCCTCCTCCTCCTCCTCCTCCTCCTCCTCCTCCTCCTCCTCCTCCTCCTCCCCCTCCTCCCCCTAAGGTCGGCCCAGATTAATAGGTCGACCCTGCCAAATCAAGGGTACCTATGTGTCCTGTGTCTCGCGACCCGTGCCTCGTGCGTTCTTGTGGCAATGTGACCCTCGGAAGGGTCTTGTGTCCTCTCGCGTGTCCTGCCCAATCGGGTCCGACTGTACCTCCCCCTCCTCCTCCTCCTCTTCCTCCTCCTCCTCCTCCTCCTCATCGGAAGACTTCGTCTCGTATGGGCTCATGCTCATGCTCATCTCTTCCTCCTCCTCTCTTCCTCCTCCTCCTCCTCCTCCTCCTCCCCCTCCTCTTCCTCCTCCTCCTCCTCCTGGGGTCTCCGAGGGTAGATTCGGCCCCGTGGCCCCCGTGGGCCCCTGCCGAGGATGATCGCGCAGCCTCCGTGGGGCTTCGCGGCATAGCCTGCCGGCGTGTGTCTGCATGGGGTCTGCGTTGCTTCGCGGTGATCCAGATCCGCCTCCACCTGTCTCCTCCTCCTGTCTCCTCCTCCTCCTCCTCCTCCTCCTCCTCCTCCTCCTCCTCCTCCTCCTCCTCCTCCTCCTCCTCCTTCTCTTCCTGCTCCTCCTCCTCCTCCTGCTCCCCCTCCTCCTCCCCTTCCTCCCCCTACAGTCGGCCCGGATTAGTAGGTCGTCCCTGCCAAATCAAGGGTACCCTTGTGTCCTGTGTCTCGAGACCCATGCTTCCTACATTCCTGTGGCAATGTGGCCCTCGGACGGGTCTTGTGTCCTCTCGCGTGTCCTGTCCAATCGAGTCCGACTGTACCTGTTGAGCGTTTGTGGAATCTGCCAGGGAAGCGATCAATGGCATAAACATGAAAACTCGGAGGTCCGCGCGGATTTCTCGGCATCGCGCTGGACATACCTGGCGGCGCCTCCCGCGCCGCCACTGGCGCGCTCCGCGCGCCAGGGAGGAGGGTCCAACGCCGATTCGAGAAATCCGCGCGCGGACCTCCGAGTTTTTATGTTTATGTCATTCTTCGTTCCCCTATCTGTCTGCGCGTGATCGGAGCTGGCCTCGCCAGACCCGCAGGTCCATGCAGTTCGCGCAGAACATGCACTGCCACAAGTGTCACCACCACAAGCCCACGATCGCCACCATGGGGCAGGCGATTCTGGGGGGGGAAGAGGCGGTAGGGGATGGAGCAATGGGGGTCCAGACTTCCAGAGCCTTGACTTTTGAGTACTTGGGCCCAGACGACCGGACCCCCTTCCAGCGACCCGTACATGTTCTTGGTTCATGTTTGACGATCTTGGGTCAGCACGTTTCTTTGGAGGCAGGAAGTTATAAACAACATTCCGCGTGGATTTTGTCGAGACGTTGGAGGTCTGAGGTCGCAGTGCAAACACATCAGCCCCAAGGAGCATTCTGTCCAGAGTCTAGCAGTGGATACGATACATTACCCAGACGTTTTTCCTGGGCCGGGTTTGCAACCGGACCCTGTAACGCTTCCTGGATGTCGAAGTGGGTGGATTAGTTTCAGTCGTGTGTTCTCAGATACGAGATGGATACATACATACATCAAAAACGGTCTATAGGTTTAGGTATTTGCATAAGAAGAGCGAAATGTATTGAGAGAGAGAGAGAGCAGCGGAGACAGAAAGACATGACAAAGAGAGAGAGAATGAGTGATAACGGAAAGATAGAGAGATAGAGAGAGAGAGAGAGAAAGAGAGGGAGAAGGAGAGAAAGAGAGACAGAGAGTGAGCAAACACGACTATACCGAACGAGAGGGGGGGAGAGAGAGAGAGAGAGAAAGAGAAAGAGAGTTTGAGAGCGAGAGAGAGAGAGAGCGAGAGGAAGATGGCTCTATACATAGAAAGAGAGAGAAGAGAGAGAGAGAGAGAGAGAGAGAGAGAGAGATAGAGAGTATGAGAGAGAGAGAGAAATAAAGAGACACATATAAAAAAGGATCGAGATATACACGCACGAGTGTGTGTGTGTAGAGAGAGAGAGAGAGAGAGAGAGCGAGAGCATACATATAACCAATATAGAACATGAGAGTGAGAAGGAGAGAATGACAGAGATAGCTAGAGAGAAAGAGAGTTTTCGAGAAGTGCGCGCACGTCCCAAACCCCTAAACAGGATTGTTGGGGGTGGGATGCGTTGGTGCTCACTTGCGACGCTCGTGTCCCAGCCCCCCCCCCCATCCTACCCTGGCTGTGCCAGAGAGTAAACTTCCTCCTCGCCTCCACCCTTACGCCGTCTCGTTAAAAATGTCGGAATTGACATGCGCCGCGCTCCCAGCGGACTTGTCTCTGGGCGACAATCGGCGAGCGACAACGGTTGCCGACGACAAGCGACGAACGATTACAAATAGGCGAAGATGACGAACGACGGACGACGAACGACGACGACGAGCGATGAACCAGGAACGGCGGACAACGAGCAGTGACCAGGACGACGACTCGACGAGCGACAAGCCGCAAACGACGACAAAATACGAACGACAAGCGACGAAAGTCGAACGACGCCGCGCATGCGGGCGTATCGCAACATAACCACCGCGCGGGGGTTGGGTGGGGGTCTGCATGAGACGACTGTGAAAGGCTTCCTCGGCTCGCGCGTCGCATCGGCGGCGGTCTCGGCTCGCGATTTTCGCGCGCGACTCAGTAGCGCTCGCGCGCGCAGGCAAGCGTCTTGCGCGTCGAAGCAGCACCCTGGAACGCAAGTGCTCGCGCGGGGGTCGGCGCGCAGCGCTGGGCAGACACTTCGCGCGACTGGGCAGCGTTCGCGCGCGCGCGGACGAGGACCCGCGCGTCGCGCCGCCCGCGGTCTCCGCGCGATTTTCGCGTGGGGGTCGGCGCACGGCGCCATGCAATGGTCTCGCGCGATTGGATAGCGTTCGCGCGCGCGCAGGAGAGGACTCGCGCGCCGTGTCGGCGATGGCCTCGGCGATGGCGCGGGGGTCGGCGGCGGCGCCAAGCAGCTTTTTGTTGCGCGGGTCGGAGTGGCCGAGCGCGCGGGGGAGGGCTCGCGCGTCGCTTCGGTGGCGATATCGGAACGAGATTCCGGCGCCGTGGTTTCGATCATCAAAAGTGGTGGCGCTTCGCTGCGTGGACTGGACGCGCGCGCGCGGATGTCTCTAAGGATGCGCCGCAACCGTGCCGCATATTCTGGCGTTTTGTTACGCAACCACCTCGCGGGGGGGTGGGCGGGGGGCGTCTGCAGGACAAAAGGCTGAGCGGTTTTTCCGGTGCCCGTCAGGCCCCATGCGCGCTTGGCTTCTTACCCTCTCGTGCTTGCGGCGCCGCCACGCCTCGTGGCGCGGGCCCCCTCTGGGGATCTCGACCCTTTCGCGGCTCCCATACCCTCCCCCTCCCCCTCCGCCGCCGCCGCCGCCGCCGCCGCCGCCGCCGCCGCCTCCTCCTCCTCCTCCTCCTCCTCCTCCTCCTCCTCCTCCTCCTCCTCCCAGGGCGTTCTGGGTCTTCCGTGAACTGCATGGGGTCTCCTTTTGGCCTCCTGGGGCATCCTGGAACCTCCTATGGCCTCCAGAAGCCTCCTGGGGCTTCCCCGTGGCTTCTTGTGGCTTCCTGAGGTTCCCCGAGCGCTTCCCGGGGAATCCTGCGAACTTCCTGGGTGCTTCCATGATCCTTCCTGGGGTTCCGTGGGGCTCGTTCGTTTCTGGCGCTTCTGGTGTTCCCTGATGCTCCCTGCGGCTTCCTGATACTTCTGAAGTGTCGTAGAGCTTCCTGAAGCCTCCTGGGGCCACCTGCGGTTCGCCTCGGCGCTCCTGGAAAGTCTTGGGCTCAGGAGGGGGTCCCAGGGGCGTCTGGGAGCGCCTGGTGCCGCCGGGGGGGGGGGGGCTTGGGGAGCTCATGGGGAGCGGCTGGGCTTGGGGGCGTTCGGGTGCTCCTGGCGCGCAGGGGACTTCCTGGGGGCGCCTGGGAGCGCTTGGGAGCGCCTGGGGACTTTCGGGAACGCCTGGGAGCTCCTGGAGCACCTGCGAGTGCCTGCGAGCGCGCGGCTGCGTCTGGGCATTGCTCGCGCCGCCCGGGGAGCGCCCGGCCGCAGCGTCCGGGGGCGCACGGGGCCGCCTGCTGGGGCCGCCGAGGAGCGCTCGGCGCTCTTGGGCTCTCCCTGCAGCTCGTGGCCGCGCCTGGGAGCCTAACGCGCGCCTCGGGGCACTCGGAGACGCGCGCCCGGGGGCAGCCTCTGGGTCGCGCCGGCACCCCGCCCGGGAGCGTCTGGGCGCCCCCACAGCGCCGGGGAGCGCTTCGGAACTGTTGGGGGCGCTCGGGACCGCCCGAGGAGCGCTTGGGGCCGCCGAGGAACGCCGGGGCGACATTGGAACGCCTGGGAACGCCTGGGGAGATCCCAGTCGTCTGGGAGGGGGGGGGCCTTCCTTGGGCTGCCTGGGAGCGCCTGGGCGTTCTTGTGGATCGTCTGGGAGAGCCTGGGGGCGCCTGGGAGCGCTTGGGAGCGCCTGGGACCGCCTGCGAAACGTCTGTGCGGGCGCGAGAACGCGCGGGCGCTCCTGGAGCGTCGCTGGGCTGCGCTTGGGAGCGTCGGAAGCGCTGATCTCGGCTTCTGTGCAAAGGGATCGCGGCCTCGGAAACTACGGGACGTGAAAACGACCACAGCCACTGCTTTTCTTTTGTTGCCGCCTTCCAGCCAGCAGAAACAAAGCAGTGGTTGTGGTCATTTTCGTTAAGCTTGGCACCATGGAAATGACCACAACCACTGCTTCTTTTTCAGCTGGCTGGAAGGCGGCGCAAACAAGAAGCAGTGGCTGTAGTCGTTTTCCCGTCCCGCAGAAACGCTGTCGTATGATTTCTAACAGGAATGCAGGCCCAGTTTTTGAGGCGCGACTCCAAGGATTGAGTTCTACGCTTGTGGGAGCCTTTTGTGTTCAGAAGTAGCGGAGTGCGCTTCGGAGAGGGACTCCTGCAGCCTGTGTTGCGCGCAAGGGGGGGGAAGCGTGGCCCGCTTTCCGCACCGTTCGGAGGCGGTCGAGCGAATTTTCGCCTGCCGACGTAGTGCATCTGGCACTCCGACCGCTAGCCGATCGTTGCGTGACGATCGTTCGGACAGGCGCTCGCTCCAGAAAGAGGACAGAGAGAGAGAGGGAGCGAGAGAGAGAACAAAAACATGACGAGAGAGAGAGAGGGATAACACAGCAAGAGAGACAACAGAGAAGATGAGAGATACTGAGAGGGAAGATAACTAGCCAGGAACTGAAGAGAGAGAGAGAGATACAGAGAGAGAGAGAGAGCGAGTGAGAGAGAGAGAGACACACTCAGAGACAGAGAGAGAGAATGAGGGAGAGAGAGAGAGAGAGGACGAGGGAAAAGAGAGAGAGAGAGAGAGAGAGAGAGAGAACAACAAAAAAAAGAGAAAGGCAGAGAGAGTGTGAGAGTGAGAGGGAAGGAGGGAGGGAGGGAGGGGCCGTAATTAGATGGACAAACAAGCGGAACCCTTGACTTTGCCCCCTCCCCCCCCGCATTCAAAGTTGTTCCCAGACAATCAAGAGCGCAGGCTTGAAAGGAGAAGAGAAGTAGAACCTCCGGGGCCTCCACCACGCTGGAGCCCAACTTCGAGTCGGGCAGAAAGGGGGGGATGAACATGGTGTCGACGACGAGGTGGTTCCACTTTTGTCCCCTTACCGGAAGACGAGGAAGGAGCGGAGGGAGGGAATGACAGATGCAGGGGGGGAGGGGGCAGGTGTTCACTGCCTACCAAACCACCCCAACCCAACCCGAAGGCTTCAATTTGCCCTCCATTTCCAGTTGGGGGGGGTCCTGGAACACTGAAAAAGCACATGGAACCCGTAGCCCCCCAACCCGAAATTCGGGTCAAATTCTGGTCTTCGGGTTAAGTTGGGGTGGTCTGGTAGGTAGTCAGGTGTGCGTGGTCCAGGAAGGGGCACGGCCAGAGAGAGAAGTGGAGGGCCTTTGGAGGGCCTGTGGCCTCCCCTGGGAGCAGGAGGGGGAGCAGCGGGAGGACGGGAGGCGGAAAAGGGACGGGGAGGAGCACGACGAGGAGAGGGATCGGCGGCGAGCGAGGGGGGGAATTGAGAAGAAGAAGGCCTTCACAGAAGGCGGCGGGACTTCTCAGAAGCGGACTTCCGCGCCTTCTGGGAAGGTACGCCCCTTCTCACTTCCCCCCTTGGCTCGCCGCCTAAGGGAGGGCAAAGAGAGGGAGGAGTATGATCGGGTATAGCCAGGACCCCGGGTAAGGGGACCCAGTTCGTGGTAGGACCCCGGAGCTTGTGAGTTGGCCAGATTCACGAAACCCGGTTCGCCACAGCTGGTGTCTTTTCGGGTGACGGCAGTTCCGGTCAGTGGAAAGGGGGCGGAGGGGCGCCCCCGGTACAGATTATTTAAACCAGGTCCCACGAAGCCCAGTTCTGCCAACGCCCGATATGAGCGCGGGCAGGACGTCCCCTGGACCCCCGAGAGCACCTCCCTCCCTCCCCCCTGCCTGCCACTTGGGCATCGCTCGGGCGTGTGCATCCTGCCGTGGCGACAACCATCTAGGAGCATCCTGGAGCACCTGGCAGACAAAACACACGCGCACGACACCGGATCGTGCACGGGGAGTGGACGTCCGATCGATGGCAAGGCCTCCCCTCCGGGCACAACAGAGAACCGCAGCCACAGCTGAGTTGAGTTTTCGGGAGGGCCCCATCGGGGGGAGTTCCCAGCGAGCTCGACGCGCATGGCCCCGTCTGGCCGCCCTGGGACGCCACGTCGACCACAACCAGCACGAAGCTGGTTTCGGTACGCCGGCAGCACTCGGCACGCGTAAGCCATCCCTCGGGGTGTGTCCTCGATGCGGTCGTGGTCCCTTGCCTTGCTGTCCCCGCCTCCCCGCCCCTCTCCCCCCCGCCCGCCGTGGGGGGCAGGCGGCCCTCCAGTACTACCCGCTGGCGGACCAGCGGTCGAGGGGCAAAAACGAGAGGCACTGCCCCGAGTGCCACGGGATCATCCTGGGCCGGACGAAGGGGGGGAGCAAAATCGGGGAGCGAGAACTCATATAGACATGGGAGCTCGGAGGTCCGCGCGGATTTCTCGGATCCGCGCTGGGCCCACCTCCCCTGGCGCGCGGAGCGCGCCAGGGAGGAGCGCCGGAGGCGCCGCGGGGGGGGGGGGGCCCGGCGCGGATCCGAAAACTCCGCGCGGAGCTCCGAGATTTTTTTGTTGTTTATGTCACTCTTCGTTCCCCTGTGACACGGAGGGAAGCAGTGCGATCGGGCTGCCTCCTGAGACGTTCGAGGCCCGAGGCGTTGGGATGGCTTTCGCGCGTTCCTTGGCGGCTTGTTTTTCCAGCCTCGGCGTGCTCGTTTCGGCAGCAGCGCGCCCAGGGCCTCACACTCAGAGGCGCCCGAGTCGCGCCCCGAGCGGACGCTGGAGGCCTGGGCTCTATCGCACATAGCCTTAAGTCGGGCCTGTCCCCCTACAGGGGGATTTCCGACGAAAAATAAAAATAGGCACACAGATAGTAAAACAATAATTCAAAAAACAGTCTGGGAGCTATTTTTTGAGTATTTTGGAAGCCTTTTTGGGGCATTTTTTTTATTTTTCGTCGAAAGTCCCCCTGTAGGGGGACACGCCCGACATTAGCCCGACAGCCGAGTCCCCGACCTCCGGCGGTATGATGTTTCCAATTTCGGGGGCGGCCACGAGGGGGGCGATGACCAGGGGGGGGGGGACATCATGGCGGGGGCCATGATATCTCCCCAGAATTCGTGGCGCCTCTTCTCATTTCAATACGTCCCTGGCCCCCCCCCTGCCAGGGGGGGGGGGCCGCGCACATGCCGCCGGCCATGATTTGCGCCCCCCCCGTTTGAACGCCCCCCTCGTGGCCGCCTCCGAATATAGCCCGAAAGCCGAGTCCCCGACCTCTGGAGGTATGATGTTTCCAATTGCCGCAATCTGGACTCGAGTCGGGTATGTCTCTCTACTGGAGGGATGTTCAAGAATTGCAAGAAAATAGTATGGGGACGATTTCTCGTGCCCTTTTGGAAAGTCCCGAGTATTTTTGCATTGGGACATGCCCGACCTCAGTCTAGACTCCGTTCCGCCCCCCAGGCTCCGCATGCGGGCCCTGGTACCATCCGAAATCACCTTGGGGCGCAAAACAGCCCCCGGGGACGGGGTCGGGAGCTCTGCGGCCACGGATGGCAACGCATGAGCGGAGGAGGCTGTTTTGGTCTGCCGCGTGCAGCCAGCCTTCCCTCCGCCACGAGCCCTTTGCTCGATGCGCCGGGGCCTCTGGCGCCGGGAGGCGCCTGAAGCAACCGGCTTCAGGGCCCCGAATTCCCTGGGCTTGGGGCGGTCAGGGACAGCTGCAGATTCGCGCCTCGGGGGCTCAAACCGGAGTTGTGCCCCAGACCGCAGCTATCCGCACAATTCGGGCGCCCATGTCCCCCGAATCACCAGGGCTGGGGGCACTCGGGGGCAGCTACAGATTCGCGCCCGGGAGGCCCACGCCGGAGTTACCCCATACCGCAGTTATCCTGGACAGCTCGGGCGTCCAACAGCTGCACACGAGGCCGATTCGTTCACCCGCCCTTTTCCGGCCTCCCCCTCTTCAGAGGAGGAGCAGGTACACTCGGACCGAGGTTTAAGATCGAGGTCGATTCGGGGGGGGGGTGCCCTGGTGTTCTTCGTGCTTGTTGGATGTTTTTATGCATCCTGTGATGGGCATATTTCCCACCACCACAACCATGGGTATGAGAGGGAGGAGGAGTATGAGGAGGAGGAGGAGGACCTCCCCATCCTCCCTTCTCCCCTGTCCTGCCTATGGTAGTGGTGGTGGAACATTGGCCCATCATCCTGGGGAGGGTATCCTTGGGTGTTCTGTGTTTTGGAGGGCGGATGGTCTCCTGTTCCTGAGGGATGTTCTTCTGGCCTAGGTCGACTGCAAGCGAAGGGGGGGCCGCGGCCGCCTAAGCCTCTTCTCGCGCCGTGCCGCCTCTTGGCGGCACGCACAAGGGGGGCTATGGGGGGAGGGGGGCAGGCTTCGTAGAGGGAGGCTCCTTCTCAGCAGGCAGGCGCCGGCCTCGCATCCACAGGTGAGGCCCGCGCCTTCCAGGAAGCCGGGTGCTCCTAAGAAGCCTGTAGCCCGGAGATCCGACGGCGTGATTTTTTCCATGCGGGGCCCCCGGAAATCTCGACCCATTCCCCGGGACCAGTTTTTCATCCTGAGTCGTTTTTTGACGGTCCTGAGAGGCCCCGTAGGGGCCCCGGAGGCCGAGAATTGCGAAACACCTCCGTCTTTTTTGGGGGGCAACCTCCGTCTTTTTTTGTTTTTTTGTTTCAGTGCGTTGGATCTCTGGGAACCCATGCACAGCTGCGCCTCCGCCGTCGCTGCGGCTGGATCTCCGCCTCGGACCGCTGGCCTGAGCACCAGGAGCACCAGGAGGAGGAGTAGGAGGAGGACGAGGAGGAGGAGGAGTAGGAGGAGGAGGAGGACGAAGAGGAGGAGGAGGAGGAGGAGGAGGAGGAGGAGGAGGAGCAGGAGGAGGAGGAGGAGGAGCAGGAGGAGGAAGAGGAGGAGGAGGAAAAAGAAAAGGAGGAGGAGGAGGAAGAGGAGGAGAAGGAGGAGGAGGAGTAGGAGGAAGAGGAGGAGGCCTGCGGTGCTGGCCCAGCTCTCTTTGCTCCCCCCGCGTCCCGCTCGTCCGGCCCGGCCGTCCACAGCAGCCACACGGAGTGCCTGGCCTGCAAGCACCGCAAGGCCGAGGCGCGGGCGGGGACGAGACAGGGGTCAATCATCGGGGGCAGCGATGCAGTCAACCCGCGTACGTAAGAATGATGCCCAGACATGCTCGCGTCGTGAAACAAATCTGACTGCAAGTTTTTCGCTATTTCGGCCCCTGGGGGCCCTCGCCGGGCCCTAGGACCGTCAAAAAAAGACTCAGGATGAAAAAGCAGCCCCAGGGAAAGGGTCTTGACTTCCAGGGACGCCGTCCTGAAAAACACCAGGACGTCGCATGTCTGGGGACGAGACAGGGATAATCGGGGGCAGCGATGCAGTCAACCCGCATAAGAAGGATGGGCAGCCTTCCCAAGGGTGCCCGTGCGTCCTTTTTGCTCCTTCGCGCACTCTGGGCCACTTTCGCTGGCCGCGCCCCGCTCGAGAAGCCTCGAGTGGCCCTCCCCTTGCATCCTTATCGTGCGTCCTTGTGGTACGGGTTGAATGCAGGGGGGTAGGCGTAGGTGGGCGGATACACCGACCCCCAATCGCCAATTGATCGCCAATAGGGGCCCGATCGCCCCAACCTGCACAGGAAAGTGCGGATTCACTTATCGGTGGCATATCGCCGATCTATCGGCGATATACCGCCGATTCCAGGTCGATGCATCCCCCCTATGCCAGTCCCCCCTTATCGTTGCCCTTGAGATGCATCATTCCAGAGCGTTCCGGAACGCTCTTGGAGTGTTCCCGAGCGCTCTGAGAAGGCTGCGGCGCCTGATGCATCCTTCAGAGCCGCGGAATCTCAGAAATCACCGATGTGTCCTCCCCTCTATCTAGCGCCCGATTTTTTTTGATGAGTGGGCCCCCAGCGGTCTGGACAACTTCTCTAGGTGGGCGACTAGAAAGGGTGTGGTTACGCCAGGGTGTGGTTTGCAATCTGCGTCGTTGGGGCATTGGGGGGCACTATGGTGCCTCCGTCGGGCCTCTTCGGACCCTTTGCACACCGCACCCTTCGGTCGGAGTTGCCGACTGGGGCCAGCTTTTCGTCCTGTATCGTTTTGGACGGTCCCTGGGCTGGCGAGGGCCCCTGGAGATCGAAACCGAAACCGGCCCAAAGCTGGCCGCTCCTTTTTTTCGCTGGCTCGGATTCCTTGGCTGGTCCGTCGTTTTCCTTGTCCTCGGCGTCACGCCAACATACCAATATTACCTGTGCGTCGCCCCCTCCATGGGGCGGCTCGCGCACCCAGAACTCTTGCAGCGTGTGCGCCGTGGCGGGCGCTCTCGGGCCACACCGCTCTGGAAACGATGCCCCACAGGACGGGCATACCATCTGCTCGCGTCGGGCGCGCGCCTCCATCGGGGGTGGACGGACCTCCTGCCCTGACACGTCGATTAGCGAATTGGCCCTGTTCGGTTCGCGAGAGGGCATCGCGGCCGTCATTTTTGCGGGTCCAGGTCCGTCGGTTTCGGTCCCAGGCCGTTTTCATTAAGGGAAGGCTTACGAAAGGGAGGTTTGTCCACCGCCGACTCCAGGGAGGACACTCGGTCTCAGCATGTCTCCGTGCGTCCCCTGCCCTGGCCTCGCCTCAGAGGCCACCGAGCCCCCGGGGGCGCAGCCCCTGGCGCTGCCGGCGGGCCCGCAGCGGCTGGCCCTGCCGGCAGGCCACGCGGGGCTGGCGGGGGCCCCCAAGACGGCGGTGGAGAAGCTGTGCGACGCCTACGAGGGGATGGACGCCCGTGTCTCAAGCAGTGGCGAAGCGTCCTGGCTCGCCTATAGACCTACTAAACCATGTTCTAAGAACCTTTTTTGGTTTCCACGAAATGTGTTTAGAACATTTCTGGCTGGGACTGTCCTGTTTAAACGTATCGGGCTTATGTTCTAAGAACAATGCTTTTGTTCTTAGAACATTTGCGGGTTCTAAGAACATTCCGTGGTAGGACTACAGGAATACTTGGACGGTCGGCCCCTGCTCAAGTGTCGTTGAACCTACCTCCATCCCTCAAAGGAGGAAACGATACCCCTTACCCATGCGTCTACCCTTCTCCCGTTGTCCCCTTTTGGGGCCTCCTGGGCGACCCTCGTCGCCGCCATTGGGTTCGCCTCGACATCCTGGTCAGAACGCACCCCGGGAGAGGTCCGTGGAGTAGCAGTATCGGTACCTTATGGTCTCCCCAATCCCCACGTCTTTGCGTCGTCATTGAAATCACGACGGAAGTGTTTTGCTCTCTTTCGGCCTTCGGGGGCTCTCACCGACCCTGGGACCGCCAAGCGGCTGCAGGATGAAGAGCTGGTCCAGGGAAGGAGTTCAGACCTCTTGGAGAGCCACGCTGTGACAAACA